AAAAAGAAAAAAGAAAAAAATTATTAAAAGTGTGTAAAAAATCTTTTAAGAAGAAACACAATTGAATTTTAGAAGTCATTTGCTTTTTTGGTTATACTGTTTAATATCTCTGTTTTCCTCTAGAACATGACTGTTTGGCTTGCTGTATGACAGCATTTGAATGTCATAAAATGTCTTTTCTTTTTTTTTTTTTTCTTGGAACTGGGGATTGAACTCAGGCCCTTGTGCTTGCCAGGCAAGTGCTTATTCTACGGAGCCATCTCCGCAGCCCATAAAATGTCTTTTCTAGTATTCCCTTGTTTCCTTTTAATTTCCAATGCTTTCTTCCTTCTAAAAGATGCCTGAACAGACAAGCGTTCATCCTGCTGATCATTTCTTAAGATAATTCCTGGAGTTTCCTGGCTCCGTCAATGGAAAATCTTGTCCTGTCCAGTCCCGCGCATCTCCCCCTGCCTCTGCCTATCTCCAGAGACCAGACCATTGCTCTGGCGATCTGTCTACTGAAATTCCCTGTGAGGCACAGTAAGTTTTGGTCATGTTGTTAAAATAATTAACTGATGAGATGTAGGTGGCTCTGGTAAGCCCAACTGTGCTTAAAGGTCACACAGAAAACAACCAGAAAGCACCAGCTAACCTCAAGCTACGATCTTCTCCTGTAATGATCCAAGTAAGGATATTGGGAGGAAAAAAAAAAGACAAACAGCAGCAGCAGCAGCAGCGCACATACAACCACACACACACACACACACACACACACACACGCTGTGATGATCCACACAGGTATACACCAGCTTCATAAGTATGTGAAGAAGGCAGGAAGAATGTTAACTTGGCTCCATGAGGTATAATTATGGGTAAAATGTTTTATATCAAGGTATAAGTGACACAGAACCAACTGCACGTATCTAGAGTGTACACTCCGGTAAGCTCTGCGATGTGTCCATACCCACGAAACCATCACCACTATCAAGATCATTAACAAACACTGCGCTTGGCTGAGCTTCCTCGCGCCCTTCCAAACTGTTCTCTGCTCTCCGTGACCCTCAGACTCCCAAGCAGCTGGGATGTGGGTGGAGCCTCCTCACCTGGCTAGGAACAAGAACTGGACCTTGGTTCTGAGCACTGTCCTCCTCCTCTCTGCTGTCCCTCTGGCAGAGCCATGGTCACCTCTTACCAGGTGTGTACAGATGCTTCCGGCTATGGTGTGAATGAAGCCCAAAGCTCCTGTGCTGGGAGGCTATTATGTCATGGGGTTCCACCTCACAAGTGGATTCGTGCTGCCACTGAAAGGGCTTTTGTAGCCTGGTGGCCCCGCACACTGGGAGGCTGAAGCAGGAGAACTGCAAGTTAGGGGCTTGACTAGGCCACTTAGCGAGACCCTGGAGAGAGAGAGAGAGAGAGAGAGAGAGAGAGAGAGAGAGAGAGAGAGAAAGAGGAAGAGGAAGGAGGAGGAGGAAAGAGAAGGAGGAGGAAGGGGAAGAGGGTGGGGCACTGGGAAGAGGAAGAGGAGATTCTACTGAGAGTAGCTTTTATTTGTTTGCAGTCAGTACTGGAGACTAAACCCAAGGGTGCACTATATTGTCAGTCCTTTTTCTTATTCTTTATTTTGATACAGGGTACCACTAAGTTGCCCAGGCTGACTCAAACTGTGATCCTCCTGCCTCAGCCTTCCAAGTACTTGAGATTACAGGTGTGCACCACCAGGCTTAGCTAAAAATGACCTTTATTGTGCAAGCGTCTGTGATCAAGACAAGAACGTGGGACAAAACAAGCAAGTGCAGTGTGCCGTAGGCTGTGTGTGGGACTGAGTGATAGGAGGGGCCTGGCTAACTGCAGGAAGAGGCCAGGCTTCCTCAGGGGTTGCACACCAGGTATTATAGCCCAGAGAAAGGAGGATGGGCTCTGAGAGGAGAGACGGGAGGAAGTGGTGTGATCTGGGCAGGACTGAGGTGGTCCCGGGGTGCTGGGACTGCCAAGGCTCTGGGCTGGAGGCTAGAGGTTTCCTTCCACTGCAGCAGGCCCAGGACCCCAGCCCCAGCCTGAAATAAAACCAGAGCTTGTGGTGGGTTTGAGCCATGGAAAGGGGACCCACGGGAGGGCTTGTGGAGGCCCAGCAGCTACTGTCTCTGGCCTGCAAGCTTCCAGTCAGTCCAGCTCAGGCGTGCTGGTTCTGCTGGTTTCTGTGCTTCCTTTACTTGGGGATTAATCCCATTTTTAAAACCTGCTCTTTTGTGTGCATGTTTTAATCTTATTTATTTGGTACAGTCTTGCTACACAGCTCAGACTCATAGTGATCTTCCTGTCTCAGCTTCCCCAGTACTGGGATTACAGGTGTGCCCACCATACCCAGTTTCAGTGGCCAGTGTGGCATATCCAGGGTTCTGGGGCCAGCACAGCATGCTGCACCAGGGATGCTTGCCAGGCAGGTGCTTAGTCTGCCGAGTTAGCTCCCCAGCCCTGTGTGTTTGTTTTTGAGACAGGGTCTTACTTGACACCATGCCTGGCCACTGTATGTGTGAATCTCAAAAGATCTGAAATCTGAGATTGGAAGCAGGTTGATTCTGAGCATTCTGGGTAACCTGCAGTAACAAAGGTTAAAATTTGGAGTTCTGAAGTCAAGAAGGCCCCAGGTGCGACTCGGGCCTTGCTGCTCAGCAGCTACATGCACTGAGACGGTTGTTTGCCTGCCCGTGGCGGCCTGTCTCTATAGTGGGGCGCTAGTAGGGGCCGCTGCAGGCCAGGTGTAGTGAGAATTAAATGACAATGGGTACAGCATGTGGCGCACAGGACAGGGCCCTAGCTGGCCACGTCACTGCAGCACTGTGGGGACAGCTTGGCAGGCTGTGCTGGCACCTGCCATTGAGAGGTCTGGGGTGTGGTGGGGCAGCCAGCTCGTGATGCATTTTCCAGTGCTTCTGAGCAGTTATGAACCAAGCAATCACCCAGGAGGGCAGTGCGAGGCTAAGCCCTCCCACCAGCCCGCAGAGGGAGGTGCAGCCCGACTTACAGTTGTAGCACAGCAACAGGCCCGCCTCTCCATCTTCGTACACATCAATAGCTGCAACGAAATTAACCTGCAATGACAATGCGCAGCGGTAGTGGTGGGTGGGGCCAGGACACTCCTGATGTGAAGTGCCACAGCCCTGCGCAGACCCAGGGCTTGGCTCTGCCTTCCACTCCTGAGCCCCAGGGAGGCGCCCTGCCTCGGACACACAGGCTCTCTGGGCCATGAGGTCAGTCTTGTCTTCTGGTCAGAGGAGGCCACTTGAGGCAAAGGAAAGCCTTAGAGCTGTGGTATGGGGCAAGTTCATCTTTTGCGTCCGTTTCCAACGTTGAGGACAGAGTATTCAATCCAAGGCATCTGTGGTCCTTTTTGATCCTTTCAGCTATGGCTTCTGTTCTAACTGCCAGTCTGGCCTCCAACCCTGCCAGGACACTGCCTTCTCCAAGTGTGACAAACACCTCCTTCCCTGGCTGTTGGTCTCTGGCCAGGGCTCATGCAGTCTGAGTCTCAGAGCCTCCTGTGTGACATCTCCCTCCCGCCCTCTCCCACTTCAGATCATCCTTCCATCGCTTGGCTCTTCTCTTATTTAGAAAAACACCCACTTTTAGCTAGGTGTGGCTGGGTGTGATCCCAGAACCCTTGAAGGCAGAGGCAGGAGGATCACAAGTTCAAGCCTAGCCTGGGCAACTTAGTGATATAGGGAAATCCTCCGTGTCTCAAGATAAAAAAATGAAAGGGCTGAGGCTATAGCTCATTGTGAAGCCTTGGGGCGCTCAATCCTGACTACTGCCAAACCAACCCAACCCAACCCAAGCCAAGCCAACCCCAGTTTTAGGACCTCAAATTTCACTCTTTGCCCAAATTTCCTAAATCTGCCTCAGGCATACATTCTCCTCAGCGCTCTGGCTCACAGTTATGAGGCTTTTGTTTCTTAACTGGGACCAATTCTGCGTCACAAAGTAGGAGGTGGCCTGGAGAGTGGGAAGGAATCCACGTGGGCCAGAGACCCAAGTTCCAGCCCTGCCTGTGCCTCTGGCCACCTCTGCTGTTGGTGGCAAATGGCTGGACCTCTGGCTTCCGGTTTCCACCTGCGATGCAGGATCACGTTTTGCTAGACTGGAAGGAGAATTCAGTTAAGACAAACAAGGATTTTAGCATGGGGCCAGACAACACAACCATATGTGGAAGGCACTTATCTTTCTCACATAACCACTTCCCCTTCTGAAGCTCGTCTTTCATTAGTAGAACTGTCTCAAAAAGTGTCAGGGGCTCCCCCAGACCCACAGTGTCCTCCTCACAGGGCTCTCAGATGCCTGTGACTGTTATGACCATGGGAAGGTTGATCGCCTTGACAAGTGTCCCTGCCCCTCTCTCTGGGTGGGAAAGCTGTGTGTTTCAGGTGGGCAGGTGTGTATGTGGGGTGGTGACTCCAGGAGAGGAGGCAGTGCACAGAACAGCGGGCCCAGGAGGGGTTCCAGGACCACCAGATTCAGGCCCCAGGACTCAGGGATAGGAGACCACAGCTTGGACGCGACTCTATCCTCCTGGGCACTCTAGGCCACTTTGCTCAGCCCTTACTAATGCTTTTTTCAGTGAGCCTGTCATGCCAGCCACAGATGTACCTGCTCCCTGGGAGTGTGCCCTGAGGCCACAGCTTCTACTGCCCTGTTTTCTGAGCAGGTGAGAACATCAAAATCTACCTAGGATCTTAAAAAACCTGCACATCTGGGGCCGGGGTGTAGCTCAAGGGTAGAGTGATTGCCTAACATGTGGAAGGATCTAGGTTTGATTCCTAGAACTACAGAAATGAAAACCCAATCCCTCCAAAACCAACCCCTCAAAAAATAAACCCTACAAATCTGAGTTCTTGCTTCTAGAGTTCTTTAATGTATGTCTGGAATAGATTATGATGTTGGATCCTTATTTTTTATTTTATTAAAAAGTATCTTTTTTGCATTAAAAATGATAACGTTATCACAGAGCAGTTGTCAAAACTGCAGACACAGACTTGAAAGAAACGAAGTCGGAGCCTACCTGGCAAGCCCCACTGAGGGCATACACAGCTGGCATCAGGGCCACCGCTGGCGGAGGGCCGTGGGCCCAGGGAATATGTTGGAGCCCAAGGCCCAGTTACAGGCTGTAGCCCTTCCAGAGGAGGTCCTGGTATGGGATCCCGGCCAGGCTGGGAAAGAGGTCGCAGGAGGCAGGGTGTGCTTTAGTGCTTCTTAGACCTCTCTGCTTGCAAGCTGGGGCTGCGTTAGAACTAGGGATTGAAGCCTTAAATGGGACTCAAGTAGCGGCTGAGAAGATGGAGGCATGGGGCCAGGCCAGTGTACACCCTGGTTGTTCTAAGGGCAGGTGGCCTGACAGCAGCACTGATTCCCGGATGACAGAGCCAGGCCAGCCCCCTCTGCACCTGCTCCCTGCGAGTGTAGGATCCTCTTGGAGAAGCCCAGGCCTGCTCCTGCAGGGCTGCCTGCTCTGACTCTGCTTGGGACCGCACTGCTCATCTCCTCTGCCCTTCTCCAGGGCTCAGCTTCCGCGGACACCGCCAGTTCCTTCAGAGACCCGCACTGCCTGCCTGTGTTGTGCCTGGCTGGCAAGCGTGTTGCAGAGGGCTGCTCAACCCAGGATGTGCACACCAGACCGTTCCTAGCTAGCCTCTGGGAAGAGCTATGTTTAATTTTTTTTTTCTTTTAGAAAAAAGGTTTTTTTGTTTTTTGAGATAGGGTCTTTCTTTGAGGCTCAGGCTGGCCTCAAACCTACAGTAGTCCTCTGTTTTGGCCTCTAAGGGCTGTGATCACAGGTGTAAAACACCACACCAGCCTTTATCTTTGTTTTTACAAAAGCACCTTGAAGGAAAGACCATTTTAGTGGTGTTTCCTATAGCTATTAGAAAAAAATGAAAACAGAGGTCATCAATGAAGACTTTTAAATCCAATGCTCCCTTGGCCTTCATAAACCATAAAGGAAAAAAAAAATCCAGAAGCATCCTAAGGAATTGTCAAGATATTTAATTAACTGCTGCACAAACAAAGTCTAACTAACATATTTCAATAGCATAATTTTTAGTCACTTGAAATTTGTTCTAAACCAGGACGTGTCAGAAAATTTCTCTGAAATAGAAGCTTTTTCTATTGGTGAGGACTTTCCCATTACAAATAAACCCAAACAACAAAAGCAAGGCTCTTCCTAAGTGTTAGGAAGCTTGCTGTCAGGGAGGGTGAGCACAGGCCCGCTACTGATACTCTGGTGGCCTCTTCTGGCTGCTCACACAGAGAGCAAGAAGCGCCAGGAAGGGGGAGGTTAGGTCTCCAGGAGAAGTCTGGGCCACACACTGGGCTTGTGGCGGTGAGGGCTGAGGGGACAGTCTTCAAAGCCTTCAGTTCTCACTTTCCATTTAGTTGTGTTAGTGAGAGCTGAAGGCTTTGACATTAAACAATGAAGAGAGGGCAAAGAGAAAAGCTAGGAAACATGGCAGGGGCCAAACCATACATTTATGTACACAAGATGGTTAAGGCAATGATCCTGAGAATCTCTATCAGGATTTTGAAATTAGTAGTTACTTGGTAGGATTCTCACCCTGACTAACTATATATGCTGATACCTGTGAACTAAACAACTGCACTGAAGATAGCGATGTGCAATGCTACGGCCATGCTTGGAATGCCTGTCGTTCTGGTCTTCTAAAAGCATATTGCTTCTAATGTCATATCAATTACTGCTATACTCTCTCTCAAGTAAATGTTTAAAAATAAAAAGGAAAAAAAAAAACCACAAAGCCTTCAGTTAGGAAGAGGTCCAGGGTAGATTCGTTCTGCTGCGTCTACATTAGCATCGCCCTGCAGGGAGGGCAGCAGACATGATGGTCTCCAAGTAAATTCTTTTACGTAGGGTGGCGCAGGCTCAGAAGATGGAGCCTTTTTAAGCTCCGCATGTGATGACAGTCAGGGCTGAGAAGTCGGACTGAGCACGCAGCTCCCAGGTGTGGCTGAGTCTCAGAATCACTGGGGCTCCCCGATACCTGTGCCCGTGCCTCTAGGGCAGACCTGTGTGTCCCTAGGGAAGGGACACAGGTATCAAGGGTTTTTCTTCTTTTAGCAGTACTGGGCGTTGGGCCCAGGGTCCTCTTACTGAGTTATACTCCCAGGCCTTTTTCTGTTTTGCTTCCTTTTTTAAAAAAATTTGGACAGCGTCTAAGTTTCTAAGTTGCCCGGGCTGGGCTCTAACTTGTGAGCCTCCTACCTCAGCCTCCCAAAGTGCTGGGGTTACAGGTGTGCCCCACCAAGCTTGGTTCACTGTGACTTTTAAAGCTCCTTAGATGACTCCAAGTGCAGACAGCGTGGGCACCAATGCGGACGAGAGAGATGGCAGTCTCCACTGGATGGATGGCAGTCGAGGACAAGAAAGCCTGCCCACTGGATCTTGATTTTTCTATTTCTGATTTTTCTGTTTTGTTAAAGTCTTGCTCTAATTAGATATTAAGTCTTCTTAAAATAGCAACTAGCAATTTTAATGAACATTTAGACACGGGGAACATGTACCAACTGGAAGAATGTCTGCGGTCTCTGACTCGGCTGACAGGACTGGGGGTGCCTGTGGGTTTGGAAGTTCACGAGGAGCCATGTGCTCCCGGGGGTGACGTCCTCACCCTGCCTCCCGGCTGGGGTGGGAAGCTCTGAGCTGTGCTGGGGTCCTGGGCAGCATCGCTAGGGACAGTGGTCCCAGGCCTCAGGGTGACAGGTGCTCACCACTGCCCACCAATGTGGATGTTCAGACCTGTTACTGTCATCTTTGGAGTTTCAGGGAAGTTTTGGTGGCCTCAGATTTTGTCCTAAACTAGGGTCATCCTTCTTCATGCAGCTTAGGCCAGTGGGTGTAGTCCCTTTGTGCTGATGTGCTCCTGCTCTGAACTGGGCCCTGCTCTGCCTTCCTTCCTAGTGGGCAGCTAAGGGCACGGAGAGGGGTGCTCCATCTGCCTTCACCTAGTCCTCAAGCAGAGCCTGAGGGGTCACAGGGCCAGCTTCCCCTCCAAAGCCTCCCGGGGATGCTGCCCACCCCAGGTGCTCAGTTATTTCTGGTCTGTTTCTGGGCTCTTCCTTTTACTCAGAAACTTGTGGTGATGCCGTAGGGCTCAGTCTATGAGCATAGTATAGAGTCGACGTGAAAACTGGCAACCAGAGTTAGAGGGCGGAGCTCTTCGCCCTGCTGATCCCCACCTGTTCCCACAGCTGTCAGCTTACCCTGCTAGCCTCCACATGGTGCAGCCTGAAGGCCTCCCCCGTGCTCTCATTCACCACATCGAACTGGTGTCGGTAAGCTACACAGATGAGGTTGTCACTCTCTTCTGTCGGCCCGTCCACCAAGGTCATCACCACGGGAGAGTCCGAAAGACAGATCTCCTGTGTGGGTGAGGATGATGCGGGTGAGGGCTGGGACACAACAGCTACTTCCAGGGCCCTGCCACTGACTGTCCGCCTTCCAGCAGCGGTCACCGTCCCGAGGCCCTGGGAACCTGGGCTTCAGGGCGCCCTCCCCCACTTCTCTTTCTGTGGCCTTACACTCACACCTGCTCCTAGAAAGGGTAGAGGCCAGGAAACAACTTTCGGATTCTGATTCAACCGTGTATGGTGCTCTGTCTGCATCCTCATAGCGGGTTGGTGGAGGAGGTCTGGCTCCAGTTCTGCTTATAGATGAGGGACCTGGAGCTCAGAGTCAAGGCACTCGTTTATAGTCACAGTTTTATACTAGTAGACAAGCTCTCTTTTTTTTTTTGGTGGTACTGAGGGCATGACCCAGGGCATGACCCAGTGCTTGCTAGGCAAGCACTCTAGGATTGAGCTACATCCTCAGCTTACTTTCTTACTTTGAGACACAGTCTCACGAAGTTGCCCATGCTACAGTCCTCCTGCTTAGCCTTCTAAGTAGCAGCCATTATGAGCTTGTGCCACCACGCCTAGTTTAAAGCCAACATTTGAACTTGGGAAATTTGACTTTGGAGCTCATGAACACAAATGTTCTATATAAACATTTACTAAAACGGCTAAGTGCTGTCTTAAGAAACCTGACACCTAACTAGAAAAAGATTTTAACTTGTTTTAGTTCAGCTGTCATCTTATCTGTCCCCTTAAACCAAACAGCAGCAGAAACCGATGTGCACAATTCAGGTGGCCTTAACTCTGCAAAAATAACTTCTACGCTACCTGTAGCAACCCTGTAGTGACCAGCATCTGACATGCTTTATACCTTAATGTACTGCCTTCGCCTTTGAAAAGACAAGAGTGTGGACCATCTGATCCAGAAGGCACTCACCCTCGGGAGGGTCTCAGTCTGTCTCTCTCTCGCTCTCACTCTTGCGCTCTCTCTCTCTCTCTCTCTCTCTCTGGGCTGCGCCTCAGCCTCAGCACACTCTGCGGGCAGGGCGAGCAGGCCGCTCTTCCCATGGCTTCCTTCCACCTCCGCAACTCCTAAATCTAGCACTGTCTCCTGCTGTCATCGCGTACTGGCCTTCTGATTTCCACTCGGGCCCCTCTGCCCTCTGTTACCCAGTGGCCAGAACCACCTTCGTAAAACGTAGTACTCTGTAACCCCAGCTACTGTGGAGGCTGAGGCAGGAGGATCACAAGTTCAAGGTCAACCTAGGCAACTTAGCAAGACCTTACCTAAAAAAAAAAAAAAAAAAAAAAAAAATGCTGGGGATGTACTGACCTGCCTGCTTTCCTGAGCTCCAGCCACTCAAGCCTCTGGGCTGTGCCTTCAACCGGCCTCAGGGCACTTGGCAGCTGTCCCCACTTCCTGAGGACCCTTTTCCACTTGCCCTAGGCATTCTTATCACTCACCTCTTTCTTCATCTGGGTCCCTGCTGCGAGGTAACCTTCAGGCAGGGCTTCCCAGGACTAATTTTATAGAGCAGTTACCCCAGTTCCTAGCTCTCTTGCTCTCTGCCCTTACTCTATTTTTATTTTCAGGATCGATTTCCACCAGCCATCATACATTCATTTGTTCACTTTTGCTATGGTTCACTAGATAGCAATTTTGGCAGGGACAGAGGCTTCTGTGGGTCCCTGCTTGTCCTCAGCACCAGAACGGCCCCTATGGGTGTTCCCTTGAGTGGGTGAGCTTTGCCTTCATCGTTCAGGGAAAACTGGGGTAGTGGAGGTGAGGGTGCTCCAGCTGGGGATGGAACAGTGAGGCAGCTCCAGGGCTAGAAACCCAGTACTGCTCATAGCACCTGGGCCTGGACAGAGGTGAGGGGAGAGAGGACCTACCCTGATGTACTGGAATTCTTCAACAGGCGACTCGGACAGGGGAGATAACAGGGGGACGCCGGTGACCCCGCTCGGCTTGTTGTGTTTCCTGGTGATCAGAAGCAGTTTATTTCGAATTGCAACCACGATCCTCAGCTCTCTGCTATGGTGGGTGTTAACAGCGTACAAGTGGCAGCCTGGGGAGAGAACGGATGTTGCTCAACACCTGCCCGGGGCTCTGGACGCTCCCATGACCTGACTGTTTGGAAGCTTGTCTTAAGAAAGCTGGGAATTAAGCACAACTCAGGGGGCACTTCTGATGCTAGGGAAAGTGGAGACTTGATTTGCCAACAGGCTGAGAAGGTCACATCCCCATGTGCTCAAGTTCGTGAGGTTGCGGCCTTAGCTTTGTGCCTACTACAGGACACGGGTTAAAGGGCAGGTGAGTAGAGCCAGGCAAGCTACGTCTTTACTCAGATTTGTCAGCTGAGCTCGGCACACTCTGGGAGCTGTGACACAAACCTCAACCTGATTTTTCTATCTTTTAAGCTTCTGAAGAAAATGGTGATACTATCTCTGTGACGTTTCCAAGTTAAGAGCAAACCAACTGAGATCGAACTCACACTCATTTTTATTTTCCATATAAAATCTGGGCAGTCTGAAAGAAAATCAAGAGTAAAATAGAAAGACTCAGTCACCTTTTGTCTTCTCCAGTTTGTTTTCTCTGCAGTCAGACCTGCCCCTGCCCACCTGCCTCCCTTCCAGGCCCTTCTGCACGGCGCTCAGCCTGAAGACAAAGAGGCGGGCGTCTTTCCCTGGTGCCGGGAGGAAGGCAGAGGGGGATTAGAGGGTGAAGTGAAAGGCTGGAGGAAACTAGGGAAGGAGGGGTCTCAGACCACTTACTGCAGCTGGGAATCTACTCCCTTTCCTCCACTGCTCCGCCCCAATTCCCAAACAAGTGCACCCGTCAAGGGACCTCAGTGCAGGTATCAGAAGGAACGGCTGCCAGGCTCAGTGAGACCCCAGCGAGCCACACGCTTTCCTCCCTCCCCGCGCCACCTCCCAGAGCGGGCACCACCTTTGTCTGCTCTGAGCACCAGAAGGTCCAGGGTCTCCAGCACGTGCATCTGCTTCACAGGCAGAGTTCTGTCGAACACAGGCACAGCTGGAAGGTCATCTGGAAAAGGAGCGCCAGTCACCCCTCCCTGCAGCCTGGGCTGCACTGTGCGACCCCGGCTGCTTGTGCGAGCTGTGGACCCTGGCTCCCTCCACAAGGCCGGGCTGGGTTTCCAGAGCTCTCACAGGGTCTGTACGGGGGTCCGCACGGGGGTCCGCACACTATTCCCTAAGCTTTGGGAGCAGCACCCACATCCCCTTCCCGCAGGCATCCACAGCGCTCCACGGAGGGCACTGCAGCAAGGGGGGTACGAGAGCTATTTTTCTCCCCAGAGTTTATATAAAAGAAAAGCCCATAACCTGTCTCAGTGTCAAATTTTATTGGGGTCGCACCAAAGGACTGAACATTAAATTAAAAAAAAAAAAGGATCAGGATAGCCAGATCTCTCAAGTATTTTCTTATTTTTATGTAATATTTCAAAGTACATCATATCATAGGTCATTTTGTCTATCATAAAAGCATAACTAAAATTTTGCATTTAAAGTGAACACAATCATGCCTTATGTCAGCATGCATGGTGCCTGTATCAACCTTAGTTTCCCAATAAATTTTTAGTATTTTTCTACGTAAGGATTTGAGATTTCCTTTTTAGACAAAAGTAAGTAAAGGAAAATATCAAGTAAATTTTCTAAATACAGGCGAAAGAACTAATTTAAGTGGAAATGCTCAAGATTTCAGATAACTGGTTAAAGACACTGCAGTTATATACGGGATTTGTCTGAAGGTTACTCACTGGCATCATAAATTGCTAACAATTACTTTGCCTCTGGGGCACCTTGGGACATCTGGGGCTTAAAGAATGAGAAGGCTGTTCCAATGAGCAAAAGGGTCTGTTCTGTGTGGTGTGGAACCAGGACCAGGTGCAGATGACCAGGGACAGTGTGGACATTGTAGGCAGAGAAGCGGCTTCTTTATTTTGTCTGCACTTAAGTCTTCAAGGGCTTTGCTGTGGGCTTGGCGGCCTTGCTTCATTGTAATTTAGGAGCAGGAGGTGCTGAGGGCCTGTGCGCTTCCAGAAACCCAAGTGCACTTGGCATTTCACCTGCTGACACTTCCCCAAGGAGCAGCGCTCTGGCCAGCAGGATTGTGACTGGTGCGGGCCTCCAGGGGCCGGGTGGGGGGAGCCCCTGCTTCTGCTGGCCTGGGTGGCTCTGCAGTGGTCTGAGCACACAGCCTGCTAAGCTTGTGTTAGACACGTGGTTGCCTCCAGTTCTCTAATTATATAGGTTTTGGCTTTTGTTCTTTAATGCTCAGAATGTTTCTCAATACAATTATGGAAAAAACATGAAATAAAATCAGAAACGAAAAAGAAAAAATAATGCTCAGAGCACATGCAAACCTATGGCAGCTCATCCGCTAGGTTCTGTCCCTTCTACCCCAGGCCTTCACAAACAGAACCGGTTCTCGGGGTCTGTGTGCCGCGGCTGGGCAAACCAACTGCTCAGAACCCCAGGTGCTCCAGCCAGCCCCTGCCGGCTGACCAGCTGAGAAGAACGGCGGCAGCTACGACAAGGGCGTCCACTACGGGCTCACTCCCTGCCACACCCTGGTGCTTGGTGGATCGTGGGTGTAACTAAATGACCCACTTTATAGTATTCCTATTCAGGAAGTGAGGAACCTGAGACTTGGGGGTGTTCAGACCTTGTCTGAGGTCACACCTACAGTGTGTGGGGTCACCAATGACAAGTCTGTCGTCTTACATTGAAAATAGAGGTACACGGTGTAGCTGCCAAGCCGAGTCCAGAACAAATTAGCATTTGCTCTGCATCAGCCCAGGAAGGCAGAGGCAAGGACAGGACAAAGTGACATGTGGGTTTAATGACTGCTGGCTGTCTTTTCCTTCTGTCATCTCTGCGTGAAGGAGCAGCTGCTTTCCTCCGATATTACCGTGAAACCAAAACACATGGAGCGAACACCCTGTGTCCGTACGGAGTCTCCCTTCAGAGTAGGTTTTGCCACCCTTTGAGAACAGGGGAGTTTGATTTTTTTTTTTTTTTTTTTTTTAAGATTTATTTGGTACAGGGTCTTGCTACGCAGCTCGGACTCATAGTGATCCTTCTGCCCAGGCCTCCCCAGCAGTGGGATTACAGGTGTGTGCCACTATTCCCAGTTTCAGCGGCCAGCATGGCATGTGGTGCCGGGGATCAAACCCAGATCCTTGCATTTGCCAGGCAGGTGCTTAGACCACTGAGCTATCACCTGGGCGGAGAGCTTGATTTTTTTAATAATGACCTTGACGGGCCAGGGAGATGGCTCAGTGGAATAAGCGCTTCCCTGGCAAGTGCAAGGGCCTGAGTTCAGTCCCTGGTTCTGCCAAAAAAAAAAAAAAAAAAAAAAAAAAAAAAAAAATGACCTTGACAAGAGCAGAGTCTGGGGTGGGGGAGGAAGGCTAATGAAATTAAGCAGAGGCTAATGTGCCAGAGTAGAACTGAGCCTGGAATGAAATAGACAGATCCCATCATGGAAACAGTCCATAATAGGATTAAGCGCAGACTAGAAGAAGGTAAACAAAGAAGTAAGAGAATTACGGCACCAAAACAAGAACAAAGAAAGCCTTAAGGCTTATGATCTTCTTAATAGCAAAAAACAAATGGGGAGCAGCTCTATGCATCAGGTCAAGAGAAAATTAATCTGCGGTGGATGCACACAGCTACCGCTTGGGAAGATGACTTCCTCTAAATTTGGAAGGAAAAAGTTTCCTGGGAAATCACAATATTCCTTATATCTGATACCACCCAAAACTTGAAAAAATAATTGATAATCTGAGTTTGGATTTTACAATTTAAAAAATAGGAGCAAGTCAGGTTTTTTTTTTTTTTTTTTTTGCGGAACCTGGGATTGAACTCAGGCCCTGTGTTGGCCAGGGAAGCGCTTATTCTACTGAGCCATCTCCCCGTTTTTTTTTTTTTTTTAATTTTATTTTTATTTTTTATCCTGTCTGTGTTTCAAAAATAGCACTAACAGCATGTTTTCTCTTTTGCAACAAGGCAAATAGGGAGGACTCACCAATCTTTTCATCATAGAACTTTTCATACTTATTTACCCAGGACTACATTTCTAGAAATTGGTGTTCAAGTGAGACCAAAAACACGAGTAGCCTTGATTTTAAAGAGATGTAGCTGGCTCAGTGGAAAGAGCAACTGCCTAGGAATCGCATCTGGGTTCTCGTTCCAGAAGCGCCACTGACCTGTGACCATGGGAAGCCATGTCACGCCTCTGGGGTTTAGCTTCCTCAGCTGCAGTACAAGGCAATGCAGGAGGCTGAGGCAGGAGGACTACCATGAGCTGAGGCCAGTGTGGGCTGCATGGTGAGATCAAGGCCAGCCTGAACTACACAGCGAGACCCTGACTCAAAAACCCAACAAAGCAAAACCAGACAAAAACAAAGTGACTAAACTAAACCCCTAAGGTCTGGTTTCCTTTTTAAAAAAATTATTTTTAATGAAGTTTTTGGTTGCACTTTGGACACCCCCCAAAAAAAATCTAAGGATTTTTTTTTTATATGTGCAAAATGAGTTTTTTTTTTTTCAGTAGAGCAGTTTCAATAATACATTGCATGTTGTTGTCTTCATAGTGGTCATTCATAGCACAAGATGCAGATGTGATACGCTGTCCAAACACTTATGAGTACAAATCTTTCTTCTCATTGAATTAAGAGAAAGTAGCTGTATATCTATCCCATTTTGTATATACAGATACAAAATGGTCCTTCATTTGTATCCCCTTTTTTTGTTTAGTTTGTCAGAGATAGGTATTCCATTGCCATTTAAATATTGTAGGTGCATGAATTCAGCAAAATAAAGAATCTAAGGATTTTGCTAGTTTTTAACAATTCCTAGGAACACAGTACCAGTAACATCTGCCATTTAAGAAGCTGCTATTATGTGCCATTTACTGCTTTTAATTCTGTAGTTTCTGCAGTCCTCTCCTCATGGCAGGTACGACCATGGCATGTATCATCATTTTCCATTACAGCAGATTATTTCTCAGCCTCTTAAAATTATTTTCTTCTTTTTAATATTTTTGGATAATTTTTGCGTGCTTGTATCTAGTAATCTGAACAACGAATGTGAAGACAATACTATGAAATATAATAACCATTGTTGAGTTCCTATCAGCTTCTCTAGTGAAATTCTGTATTGTTTATGATGTTTTTCTTTTACTATTTTTTTCTTTTATCTCTTTAAAAAATTACCCCATTAGAGAAAAATCAAAGATCAAAAGAAAGAGCTTGGACTTTTTTTTTTTGGTACTGGGGATTGAACTCAGGACCTTACGCTTGCCAGGCAGGCGCTTATGCCACTGAGCTACATTTCTTTTCTTTTTGTGATGCTAGGACTGGAACCCAAGCCCCAAATATGCTAGGCAAGCACACTACCCGGACACATTCCTAGCCCTGGCTTTTCTTCCAGATCCCCGAGTTTCTCAAATTAAATACTGAATGCTGAACTGTTGAGTTTTAAGTAAATTTCCCTTTATTAAATTAGTCATAGATGTGATTAGGTTCTAGGAACACAATTAAAGTGTGTATCAAAAATAACAGACAACAGAGAGCAATGCTCCCTCTTTTTGGGGTACTGGGAGCTGAACTCTCAACCTCGCGCTTGCCAGGCAGGCCGCTGCCCTGCTGAGCTACATCCCAGCCCCAAGCAATGCACCGTGAGGCGTGCCGTTCCATGGAAGGCGCCTGGCACAGAGCAGGGCTTTTGTAACTATGCCAAGCAAGAGTTTGAGGGAGGGACAGAGGTCTTCCCCAAGGGTGGCAGGATGCTGCAGGCAGGCCACCATGTCACTGTCACAGTGGTGGCTCTCGGAGTCTTGTAAGATGGCACTACGGTAACTGAGCCTGGGCAGCTGCCTCCTGCAGCCAGCGGACGGGCTGTGAAGCCACATCTCTGTGCCTGTGGCTCCCTCTGATGTCCCAGGAAAGGACCTGTGGTTGGTGCTCAGCTCCTCTGTCATTCATCAAAGTCCAGAAGCATCTAAAAGGGCCTCAAGCGGGGAGGGGCTTCTGCCCACCCAGGGTTCCACCCTCTCCACAGCGTCCTGCCACAGCAGCCCCTGGGGGCCAGTCTGTGCCACAGATGCACTCACTTAGCGGTGGGAAGACTTGATTTCATTTTGAATAGAAACTTTTCTCCGTCAAAATCTTTGTGTTTCTATGCCCATCAAAATGGTTTGTTTATCTAAGATTTTTATCATTTGTTTTAGACACCAAGTACTTTTTTTAAATCAGAAATCCCCCCCTTTTTGAGGCTGTGAGACAGCATATTCCTGAGAGAATGGCTGTAAATAATGTGTCCTTTTTAACTTATGATAAAATATTGGGACCGTAAATAAGGATTACTGGAAACAGAGGGACTTTTCCAAGTCATTAACATCCATGCAATCGGAGCTGGAGACCGGAGGACGGGATGAACCTAAGCCCCCACCTCCAGCATGCCAAGCCCGAAACATGTCCATCCCCTCTGCTTGTCCTGAAAGCAAGGGTTTCACAAGGAAACCCTACTTTGATTACCCCCCGTGGGCCATGCATTTATGGGCTCGGAGAGCTGACTAGAGGGCCCCCACCTTAGAAGTACTACAAGTTACACAAATAAAGACATAGTAGGAGCAGCTACTCACTAACCATCCACTAGCAAGACGCCAGCATCAGTGGAAACCAGCAAGGCCTGGCCCCAGGGATCTGCGCACACGGCTTCGTGAGGGAAATTACTGCAGAAACACTGGGGCTCCCAAGGCTGCGAGGCAACACAAGCATCGGAAAATGAGTGCACCAGAAAGCATACACCGCAGCCCACCAAAGGGAACGCACCAGGAGACGCCTGAAACAGTAACACAGATGACCTGTGGGAGCAGTCACAGCAGACCTGGGAGCTGCGTGGGGCCTGGACTCATTTATTTATTTATACTTTCCTTTGATAGGATGGGGGATTAAACCCGAGGTGCTTTACCGCTGAGATATATCCCCCCACCTCTATTTTTAGATCATTAATTTTAAGGCAGGGTCTCGCTAACTTGCCCAGGATGGCCTTAAACTTGTAATCTCTCCTGCCTCAGCCTCTCAGAATGCTGGGATAGGTATGTGCCACCAGGCTTGGCTTGGACTCCACTTTCTTAAGAAGAAAACTCTTTAAAATACATATACAATAGGCAAGTGGTGAGCTCACGTTTCTGGCACCGTGACCTCTTTCTATATGAAATAATGTTCCTTGGGCGGTAGAAACATTGGTCATATTTTCTAAGCAAATGGTTCTTTTTAACACCTAGAAGTTGGGCCAGCTGGTGCCTGAGCTTCAGAGAATTCACATTAGTTGATCACAAAAGTCCCACGTAACTATAAAAAGTCAGAGCTGTGCTTCTGATTCAGCAAAAGATTACATTAGATACAATGCAAGAGGTTGATACACTCTTAATATGAAAATTCTATTGACTCATATAAAGCTACAAAATCTTAAAGAAAAAACCACCTCTGTCTGTAGAAAACAAGCACTGCAGTGAAACCATTCCCGTTCTCCCATGCACGTTCATGCCACGTGGACTGCTTTCCTTGAGTCTTGTGCCCAAGGAGTTGTGACTTTACCCAACACAAGGCCTGGAACTGCCCCACCTGGAGCCGTAGATGGCCCTGTGTGCAGGTAGGTGTGTCTGTAGGTACCCATGAGGGAGCGCTCTCAGGCTCACATTCCAGGGTGTCCCGAGGGCTGAGGGCTGCACGGTGTGTGTGCTAGTGCCAGTTTAGAGGAGAACAGCGGGCTTCCCTATTAGCAAATCCATATCCACAGGAAGAATACTCTGGGGCTCCCACGGACGCGCACTGCTCTGACTGAGATCAGCTAAAGAGTGCGGGAACATTTTATAACCTGGAGGGCTACATGAGGGCAGGTCACTAATTGAAATGACATTTTCCCAAGAAGAGTTCTGGCAATTCAGAGCTTGTGACTTGTAGCAAAAGGACACGAAAATGCAAAGCCAATATAAATGTCACTTAGGAGACCGACCACCTAGCACGTTAGGTAACAACAGCGAGACAGAACAAAGTCTTCAAAACAAAGTGTTCTCTGTCCGAGGACGCAAGTTTGGGATACTTATGTTAAAAGAGCACCTTTGTTTAGAAGATCCGAGAGTACTAGTGGCTTAGGGAAGCTTAGGAACACTCCAAACCTTATGTGAAATGCTGGGTGTGTCCAGGACAATTTAACAGGCTGGCACATGTGCAGTGCTCATCATGGGCACAGGGACAGTGAGGTCTGAGGAGCTACTGGGTGCCCGGGCATGGAGTGGCAGAGAGCAACTTGGATCTGGCGCCACAGAGGCCCCGGTCTGAGGGTGGGTGGTGTCTACCTTCACCCCTAAACTCCTTCTACCAAGTGGGAGGCTTGGTTGCGGGCTCTGGAGGGGCCTCCAGGGCTCCTGAAGCCGGGCTCTTCCGGGCTCCTCCAAGAACACTGACCTGGCTCATGACCCAATGGACACTCAGGAGGCTGACAAAGCCCAGTTATTTGCAAACAGATGGCTCTGGGGAGCTGCCTGTGTGGCTCTGACACCAGCTGGCAGGGACCACTGGAACAGTGTTTCTCCTAGGGAGGCCTTTAGGAGGCTGTGCACTGACCCCAACAACAGAAGCTGCTCCTTGTCCACTGGTGAACCAGTTAAAGGTCCACAGACTTCTGTTTTCTAAGAACTGAAGATTATTATAAAACATCGCTGCAATGTGGTATTTTTAGTATCGGGAAACACTGGGAGTTCCCACTGCACACAAGTGGGTAGCTGGAATTTCTGCAACTTGAGAAAGGGTGCCTTGCTATCAGTCTTGTCTGAAGCTGGTTGTGAATTTGAGGGTCAATTGCATTTTTAGCTCGACATTTTCCTGAGCGCAAATTTGAAAGTGTGTGGGCTCAAATCAAATATACCTTAGTGTTAAAGTAAACGTCTTCACAGTTCTCGTGCTTGTGCAATGGACACCTCCCTCGTGGTACGCCTGTGTGACTGCTCCACTTGGCTAATTTACAGATTCTGAGTGGCTCAGTATATAGGGTCCTTTTTACAATACAAAAGCATGCACATAACAAGTTCATACTGCAATTTATTTTTCTCATTTTCTGTGTTCTTGGTTTAACACTCAGTTTTACCCTTTGGGAAAAAGGGAAGCAGAGAGTAGTGAGGGAGCAGGATTTTGGCTGGCTGAGTGAACTGCAGATTAAGCAGCACTCTCTGAGAACTAGTCAGAAACGCAGCCCGCTGGGCCCCTGGACCTCCTGGAACAGGAAGTGGGGCTGACTCAGTCACGCATCAGCCAGAGTGATCAGCACAGGAACTGCATGCAAGCTCCTGAGATGTCGCGTGGCCCCCACACACCGCGCCAGAACATGGATCTGGCCAGGACGTGCAGGTGACAAGTGTGCACACAAACCTGAGAAGCACTGAGGGAGGGGCCCGGCCGGCTGGCAGCTCTGCCCTGTTCCTGCAGGCAGAGGCCAGAGCATGCTGCAGAAACACGGAGGCTCTTGCTAAACGACCCGGGCTTGCCTCCGAGGCCTGTGCGGGAGCTGAGCCTTCTGTCCTCAAATTGCTCCCTATACTTTTTGCCCCCAAGAACCCAAATACCATCATTGAGGATAAAGGACATTCACACTTCAGCATTCAAGTCTCACCAACTCACCTCCTTCTTACAGATCCCCGAGGCCACCAAGCTTGATGGGGCATCCCCTCTCACGATGGACTTTAATTTCAGTGCCTTAAGGAACAGACATCTCTTTTAAGGTTTATTATCAGGCAGCAAAAGAACAGCAAAATAAAGATTGATTTGAAAACAAAACAAAACAAAACAAAACAAAACATAATGAAAACAGGATTCAAAGTAAAGTTTCAGGTTGCTCTGCTAAACGTAAGAAATAGAGATATGGTGATATCAGCCCAAGGGGCAGGGTCCTAGCCCAACCTACCCCAAATGCACTCTGTCACTTCAGTTAGCGCATATGTCAGTACTGTGAGTTCTTTTTGTGGCACTGAGCACGCAACCCAGGGCCTTACCAATGCTAGGCAAGTGAGTGCTCTATCACCGAGCTGTCCCCTGGCCCTCTTTTATGGTTTTTATTTTGTGATAGGGAAGTTGACAATTTTGCCAAATTGCCTGCTTGTTAACTTTCTGCCTCAGACTCCCAAGGAGCTGGGATTACACGTGTACAGTACAGTGATTTCTAAATTGTAAGCATTAAAAACTACTGACTCCCAGGTTCCTCCTCTAGCTTGGTGGCTCAGAGGAAATGCCAAATAGCTTTTTAAATGTTTATTTATGTATCTATGTATTTAGTACAGGGGCTACAGGGTCTCACTACACAGACTGGACTCATAGTGATCCTACTGTTTTCAGCCTCCCAAGTGCTGAGATTACAGGCACGCACCACCACACCCAGTCTCAATTGCCATCTCAGCGTGCCCTGGGGGCGGGGCTGGCATGGCAGGCCTGGGGGTCGAGCCCCTGGCCCCTGAGCCTGCTTGCAGGTGCTTTAATCTGCTGAGCTATTTGGCTGGCCCTTGCCTTAGCCCTCCTTATCACTCTACTTCTGAGTCAGAGTTATCTGTACTGCTGGCAGTCCTCCTTTGTCTCTCCTGTGATATGGGACATATATCAATATGGAACCCTTAGGAGCCAAGCCAAGGGAAAGTGACTTCTTCAAAGGTCTGAGGTAGAGAGACAAGTGGGAGTCTCACCCTGGTAAGAAGTAGAAACGCAGGTTTCCTGCAAGTGACACTGCCACTCAGAGCTTCCTCCTGCCAGGGAAGGGTTCAAGAAGAATTTCCAACACTACTTTTTTTTTTTTTTCTTTTTGTGGTACCAAGGATCAAACTCAGGACCTTGTGCTTGCCAGGCAGGCACTTATACCACTGAGCTATATCCCCAGCTGACAAGAAAGCTCCTATCTGAGAGGGCAGAAGGAGACATAAGCTGATTGCTTCAGGGATCTTTTTTTTAAAAATGTATTTAGTACAGGGTCTACAGGGTCTTACTGCTTAAGACCTGTAGTGATCCTCCTGTTTTTACCCTCCAAAGTGCTGGGATTACAGGTGCGGGTGCCACCACACCCACTCTCATTTGCCAGGGGCGGGGCCAGCACGGAATGGGGATGGAACCTGTCCCCTAGTGCTTGCTTAAGCAGGCGTGTTAGTTAAGGCGTATCTGCAAACTGGCTCCCCATCGTGCAGAGATCTCTTGGCAGGCAGGCAGGAGGGTGGTCTGTGGCCACTGCCAGGAGAAAGCTTAGAGCTGGGCCCTGGACCACTTGCAGACCCACTGCCACAGACTGTGTCCTCTCCCCGACACCCACAGGGAGTCACATCAGTCCACTAAATCTCACTCACAGTTTCCTGACAACTCAGAGAAATCTCAGCGCTCATCCCACGGCGGGCAAATGTAAAGTCTCTGCAATGGGTCGTCCAGGTGGGATGGGACTCAAAACCACAAGTCTGTTGGAACAGGTCACAGAACAAAACCCCACCTGCCCTATCCTGACAAACTCTGCCTGGCGAGCCTCCTCTTTCTTCCGTGCTGATTTAGGCGATTCAGGTAAGACATCACTAAACGACCGTCTATTGAGCATGTTCTAAAAGAGAAAAACAATCGACCGGTTGCACAACTGTTGTCAAGTTTTTTCCTTTAGCTTTTCTTCATGCATGACTTTCCATGAACAGAACCCCAAAAAGCTGCCTGACACATCTGCCTGCCCCTGGCCTGTACCTGCATTGCCACAGGCCCCAGCTTCAGGAAGACACGTTCCTGTGCATGGATGTTCAACACCCCTTCACCTGGGGGTGACCAGGAGGGAAAGTCAGGATGGCCACAGAGGTTGTGACAGCAAGGACCAAAGTGATGCTTTTGCTCTGAATAGGACTTCAGTGCCAGGACTCAGCTCGGACCCCATGGGAGGGAGAGACCGTGGACCCAGGTACCTTATGCAAATCTGGCATCAGATCCTGGTATAAAGATCGAATCAACATGTCCAGAGTACGCCGGCGCTTCTGGGCAAAGGTTGGGGTTTCCAAGGTGGCTTTTTCACCATTAATTACTAAAACAAATCAAGTTTAAAAGGGAGTTACAAACATCAGTAACCCAGTGAACATCACCCAGCTTCCTAATACTGGTATTTCCTGCGTTGGTCTGAGCTTCCTGGCACAGAAGAAAGCCAGAGAACGCTCCACATCTGTGTGGCTCGTGTCAGCTCCCCTTCCTAAGAGGACGGCAGACTGCCTGAGCAGAGACGGACCTGATACCTGGGCAGCTCTTTCGTCGCACACCTAGCCCTTGGCCCTCCCAGGATGCCATTGCAAGGTTAGGATATATTTGCTGCACTTAGTTGGAAAAAAATAACAATTGTCTCAGCAGGATCCTGTGGGCTTTAGCCTAAAGCCTGTTGCTTCTGGAGAGAGCTGGAGTTTTAACAGACAGTAGCCACTAAGAGAATCTAAAGTGAAATGCAGAGCTACACATTAGAGCGTATGACAAGCTGTGGAGTCAGGGGTTTGAGGGCAAGGCAGCGGTGGGACGGAGTCCGCCCTGCTGCTGGCTGTGGATTCCAAGGCGAGACAGTTTTAGCTTCTGGGAAGTTGGTTTTCTACTTCCGAACACAGGTGCAGCCCTACTTCCTCATGGGTGGTGACACTGAGGCCAGACGAGCACTATCCAAAACACACAGAGGCATACTGCGCCAAACACATCTAAGTGATTAGTTTTTTCCAAGCATGGGCTAGAAGAAAGTTAGTGTTTTTAGACTGAAAAATGGAACATTTAGGAAAAAGGCATTCTTTAGAGATAATCCATCTGCTAAGAAAAAGACTTCTATGCAAAAGACGTTTCCATGAGGACTGGGGAGATGGCTCAGCGGAATAAGCGCTTCCCTGGCAAGCGCAAAGGCCTGAGTTTAATCCCCGGTTCCGAAAAAAAAAAAAAAAAAAAGACATTTCCTGAGTAATTGTGTTTTTTTCTTTTTTCTTTTTCTTTTTGAAATGCTGGTGGTTGAATGTAGGCCTGCCACACAGCTAATCAGCCTCTCTTTTTATTTTTTACTTTGAGACAGGGTCTGGCTAAGTTGCTAAGTTGTCCCACTGTGCTCAAGCTTTGATCCTCCTGCCTCAGCCTCCCAGGCCGCTGCACTAAAGGCGTCCAGCTGGTGCCTACTATTTTCCTTAATTCTGTGACTAGAAACTTTTTCATTAGAGGATTTTTTTTTCCTCCTTAGTAGCATAGAAAAATCAACTCTAGACGATTCAGTTAAGCTGAGTAGGAGGAAAGGCCACTATTTCTGTTGAAATGCTTTCCTCCTCTCTGCAAGCTCATGCTCTGGTCCCAGGGGTTCTGCTGTCAGCCGACCAGCCTCCTGCTCTGCCTTCCCACTGCACCCCTGCCAGGCGCTCTCTTCGCCCTCGTGGCTCCCTCAGCTGCTCTTCCACCCTGCGCACCTTCCCATTACCCAGTGGACTCCCGCTTCCCTCCACCCCAGTCTCTGCGCGTGATGACCAGTCACTCTGAGTCTGGCTGGGCTCTGCTGGTGAGCTGCTTAACTCTCCCTGCCTGGGCCTGAGGGACTGCCACACTGGGCTGGTGTCCCAGGTTTCCAAGCCCTCTCTGCTGCCAGTGCCTGCACCTGTTCCTTGTTGCCGACTCTGTTTCTTGCTCTCTACCAGGTCCTCTGGACTTGAATCAGAAGGATCCCACAGACTCAGCCAGTTTCATAAAGGATGTCGGAGGTCTGGCTTGTTTTGAAAACTGCCCAGCTGGCAACCCCAGGCTCGTGTGCCTGAGGCAGCACCCTAGCTGAGCTCTGGACTCCTCCGCTCTGCTCACGGCGCTCACTCACTCCTTCCCTCCCCACCTTTCAGGCTCCTGAGTGTGGGACCCAGCATTTGAAATAAAGGGTATAGAATTGCAAAAGGAGAGACAAAGTCAATCTCTTCTGCAAGTGATTTGCAGCTTGTGCTGCTCCCAACATCAGGAGGGACCGCTGGTGCAGGTTAAGGTGCAGGAGGTGACATTCTGGGGACGTGTGGTGATACCTCAGTCAGGGGGCTCCTCACAGCCCCATTCCCTAGGGAAAGGGTGGGAAGCAAATGGAAACCTCTGCAAGGGGCCAAGGTGGCCATCAAGTACCTTGGCTTAGCCTGGACTTAAGTGGCATGTAACCCTTCAAGTGTCACATGTGAGGGTGCACAGACACTGGGGCCTTGTCTGGTTGTTAGGGAGGATGCACCTGCAGGGCCATGAAGGACAGATGAGGGAGAAAAGAAGGCAACGGTGGGACAGCACTAGCCTGTGTTGCCCCAGCCAACAGGCCGGGCTTTGGCCAGTGCTATAGAATAATTAAGACAAGAAGAGGAGGAGCAGGTGTCTGTGAAGAATTCTGGAACGTCCCGGACAAAGTGCCACCTTCAGGCCAGGTGATTAAGACAGACTCAGAGGGGAGGGCAGGAGGTTTTCCAAATGCTCTGAAACCACATGGTAACAGTGACAGAATTAGGCAGCCTGTGTGTGGGTGGGAGGCGATGGGAGGCAGCCAGCAAAGTAGCTGCAGGACCCAGCGTGCCTGTTAGAAGACTGAAAGCAGCTTCTTCACAGAGGCATGGATTGAGTGACTGCCAGGACCTCAGGGCTGGCTGGTGGGGGCTCTAGAGCTTCCAGTGGATGACACCCAGAGGCCTGCTTCTGATCACCAATGAGGGCAGTCCATCCCTAGGCCTTCACACAGAAGAACTAAGGGCACTCTGGGCAGGCTGAGGCAGGGCTCTGAGCTCTGAAGGAGGGAGGCTCCTGAGGCCTGGGGCTAGGGGGCTCCCATTCACAGTTTGGTTCAAACATACAGCCCTGCCCCCCAACTCTCACCATCCCTAAGTCTGTATCATAGCCACTCTTTCCCCACCTCATTCCTTTCTGACGAAGACCCAGGTACACCCATGTGCCGAGACTCAGGATGGCTGCATCAGAATCTGGGGCAGAGAGGTCAGTTTGAAGGCCCATCACTTGGAGAAGGTAAGGATAAAAAAGCAAGGCGGGAGGGAAGGATGAGGCAGGGGTGAATGTGGACCTGGGAGCAAACCTGCATGCCACCATCAGAAAACGGAGTATGTGTTGGAGGGAGAATTGACAGAACACAGAAGGCCTTGACAATGACCTTTTCTCTTGCTGCACCCCAGGAGAATATGAAGAAATGTGTTCTGACAGGGAACAAGTCACAGAAACATTTTGAAGAGGAGACTTACATTTCACTAGCAAAAAGTCCCTGAATTCCTGGTGGTCTGTAAACACCGGTGGGGATGGCAAGGGTGGGCCAAAGAGTGGTACGCTTTCTTCCGAAAATATTTTCAGCCTATGTAGAGAGCATTCCAGAATTAGTTGGCTTTTGTTTAAAGGTCATTGATATTTTGCCTGTCAATCTGAAGAGTGGCCTATGTGATGTGTTAGGAATATGAATCTCACAGCAGGACCCTAGGCCGCCATCTTGGCCTCCTTTCCAGCTTAGCCAGTGTACTTCTAGGGTGGAGGCTGAGTCCTCCTGAGTCCTTTGTGGTCTACTCACTGGTTTATGGGCCAGGCCACCAGGAGGAACAACAACAACCCACACCACCTGCCCACCACACTTGGGATTTACACCTTGGCACTGCTGCGATTCTTCCCGGTGGGCGGCGTTGCCTTCATTCTACACAAAGCCTGAGGCTCTGAGGAGCTAAACACTTCTGCAAGGCCTCAATCAATATCAGTAAGCGACAGGGCCAGGATTCAAACCCAAAATCCTTTTGGTAAAAGGTCAACGTCTTTTCATGACATCTTTGGGCTTCTAGACAGATTACATTTTTCTTTTTTGCAGTACCGGGGGTTAACTTGGGACCTGGCAAGAACCCCAGAAAAGACAGCTACGATCAAACATATCAGACTTGCCTCACATAAAGTACAAAAACAAAAAACCAAAAAACCCCCAAAAACAAAACCCCAAAACCAAACTAACCCTGACCCTTGCATCTGCTGTATCAAGCAAATCTTTCCTGAAGAGAGGTGGCTCTGGAGAACATTTGCTAAAGTGAAAGCGCTTGTAGAAATTCAAGAAGTGTGTCCATCAAGAGGCTCACACAATCAGTGCCAAATTAACAGCGAAACTGGAGGATTAGAAAAGAGTAAGAAAAGGTTGTCACCTACCTGTAGTTGTCATTTTGTTGGTCATATCTCACTAAGGCAAAGATATCTACGGCAACAGTCAAGGAAATTAGTCAACAACCTCACGCTCACAATCGACAGCTTGTGCTTCAAAAATCGCATGCAGAATTATTTTGACTGCTAGGTAGGACACCTATTGCTCGCCTTCGTTAGACAGACAGGCCAGGAGGGTGTGTGCGAGGGTGCTGTGACTAGGGCTAGTGTCTGCGGGAGCGTCTGCTGGTAAATCTCCGAAGCTGTCAGAAAAGCAACATGAAGGCAGACACTAAACAACTAAGCTGCCAACAGAGCAAAAAGAGCAACTCCTTGCCTGGAAACCCAAACAAGATCCCACCATGAAATTAGTCACATATTTCATCTCACACATTTTGAGAAGGAAAGCAAATTTAAATGTTGCCACTATACACCTTCTCTCTCACTCCTTCTGGCTTTGATAGACAAAACAAAACAGAACAAGCCAATGTGGCTGGTGGTGGCTTCTAAGCAAAGTCTACTCCTCTTGGGCTACAGCCTGCCAAGACCAGAATAGCGCGATCGCTGCGGTGAGGCTTGGGGTAGAGTGAGTGCCTAGCATGTGTGAGGGGAGCCCTGCCCCTCCCAGCACCACACACACACACACACACACACACACACACACACACACACGGAAATTATACAGTGAATCATCTCTCAACAAATGTCTTAAAAAGATTTAAAAAAAAAAAAAAAGCATTGCACCATCCCCAGCGGCCATCCTCTTCCTGCTCTTCCCTGTCCCCACCACCTCCCACGCCCAGCTGGTCTTCCAGGGTTGTGAGGCCCTCTGTCCCCAGCGTTCCCACTCCTCGGCTCAGCGGAATGAATCTCCATGGATAACCATCCTCCCCTCCGTTTCCCGAAACAGATGTGCCAACCATATGTAAATTGTTCAAGTAAGGGAAACCCAGGAAGAGAACGGCTTTCCTCTCCTGTGCTGCACTCGGAGAATTTAGGCTTTCTGTTCTGTAAGAACTGCGCTACAAGCAGGAGCAAATATTGCCAGTCTTCAATGAGGCAAGCCGGGAGATGGTGCTCCGTGCACAGGCTGGGAAGGAAGAAAATCAAAATCCAGGTGGAGGCGTGCGCCTGTTTCCCTTCCTAGTCTCATGAAGACATTTGGCGGTCTTCACTTCCAAGTACTTACTAATGTGCTATGTTGTGAGGCTCTAAGGACGAAGTCGAGCGTAGAGAGCAAGCTATTTCCAGATGTGTGAACCACAGGGCTCTTCTCTTGGCAGCTTTACTGGGTCTCTGGGGAATATGAGTAACTAACTGATTTGGAAGATGCCTGTTGCAGAAAACCTGCTAAGCTATCACCTTTGGCTACTACCTCTCGGTCATGACTGTGACCCACAGTAAGAGGGGCACGAGTGGCTACCAAATTTGCTGGCTTAATAAACTGAACAGGGATTAGGTGAAGCAAATAAAAATCTCCTAGTTTAGCAATTTTCAGACTTCAAGAGGTGGTTATGCAGAAGCTATTATCAGGGCTTAGGTTCAACCAGAACAAATTATTTGGGCTTTTTATATTTTAATTAAAAAATCATTATTGGGCTGGAGAGATATCTCAGTGGCATAAACACCTGCCTGGCTAGCGCAAGGTCCGGAGTTTGTTCCCCGGAACTTCATGCAGTGCTGGCACCGAAACTGGGTGTGATGGCGCGCGCCTGTAATCCCAGTGCTAGGGAGGCTGAGACAGGAGGATCGCTGTGAGTCCAAGCTACATAGTGAGATCCTGTATCAAAAACAAAAAAAAGGTTGAGATAGGGTCTTGCTGTGTAGTCCCGGATGGCCTTGAACTCACGGCAACTCTTATGTCTCCGCCTCCTGAGTGCTGGGATTACAGGCATATGTACCACCACACCCAACTTGACTTTTTAGCATAACTTAGAAATTTTTATAACTAAAGCAGATTTCTTTGGGGATTCATTTGCTGCTTGCCATTCCTTTAGTTTACTTATCACTGACAGATGGCAGAAGTTCCCCTCAGTGCACAGACCGCAGGATACTTCGGAAGTCAAGAATTGTCTGAGAATTAATCTATTCACTACTCTAATGGGTGGAGGGAGGCAGAGAGCAACATGCCCTAACTAGGGAATTATTATTAATTATTAGGAATTAGCACAAATTCAAAGGCAGCCAGTTTCAGGCTCCAGCAGCGCACGGTGGCCAGGTGGAGCGTGTGGGTCGTGAGTCATCTGAAGTCAACAAGGCCTCTGAGCTGGAGCCCTGCGGAGGCCCAGGCAGGATACGTGTAAAATGTGAGCGGATCATGGAAGGCTTGAAGGCAGGAGAAGATTCCTCTCCTTCCTGGAACACGATGGTGACGATATCGTTTCCAATGTGGCGCTTCCTTTCCACCTGTGATGAGCATAAATGACATCACTGAGATCACTCAAACACATTGTTAAAGGACACAACACAGCATTACCAACCACAAGGACCTTCCGACGGCTTTGGCTTCACCAGCCCAGTCTCCGCGGCTCTCCCAGTCCTCTCCCAACCTGAACTTGTCTTTCCCCCTGACTCCGAGCCTCTCCCTCCCTCACACTGGATCATGAGTTAATCACAACCTCTAGAAGCCCACCCCCTGACGGCATGAGGCTTTGGGGGGACACCTAGACGCAAACCATAACAGCAAGGTAAGCTGGGTAAGCAGGGCCCCGTTGCTTACTTCTTGCTACATAACAAACCACTCCAGAACTTGCCAGCTGAGTTCACTTAGCTCATAGTCTTCCACGGTTCTGTGGCTGACTGGTCCCAGCCAGCAGCTTCTTCTGGTCTCCATCAGTTGCAGTCACCTGGCTGCTGAGCAGGACAGGGACACCTGTCCTGTCCCAGCTCCATCAGTGTTAGGGCCTCCCAGTGACCTCTGCCTTGACCTCCCAATGGCCTCCTCCCCCGCCTCTGCAGCACAGGGGCTGACTTCTGACATGGGGCTCAAGCCTTCCAAAAGCACATGTCCAGGGGCCGGTGAGGTGACTCAGTGGAATAAGCGCTTCCCTGGCAAGTGCAAGGACCTGAGTTCAATCCCCGGTTCCACCAAAAAAAAAGCACATATCCTGAGAGAGAGGTGACAGAAGCTGCCAGTCCTTTTAAAGGCTGGGCTGGGCGCTGTTCTAGGGTGAGCTTTGCTACAGCTGTTCACTGCCGCAGTATTCAGCCAGCAGGACTATTCAAGGCGATAGCACTTGAACACCGCCTTCCAGTGAGGGGTGTGGCTGTGAGTAGCCATCATTAGTCTGCCTTATTTTGGAGCTAAGGACAGCAGGGATCCAGTGGAGTGCCGCAGTCATTGTGTGACCAGACAGGCAGAGGTCTAGATGGGGTTGGCTGGCCAGCCCTGCCTGCTTGTTCACACTGCCCGTGGCTGCTTTTGCACTCTAGGAGCCCCCTGCTGCAAAAAGACCACATGGTTTGCAAGCCTGGAAATAGTCTCCATCTGCCCGTTCCAGAAAAACGTGTTGACCACAGATCTAGATCATTCAGGGGGCTTTGGGCTTCCAGCTGAGGGGGTAAGGAGTCCTGGAGGAGGATGGTGGTGATAGGTGCCCCATGATGTGAATGGACTCACTGCTACTGAATTGGAGGCGTCCCATGAGTTAAGCTGGAGGCTTTTATATTATGCATTTTTTATTTTATTTTTTGTATTTTAGGGAAGGGTCTACAGGGTGTTCAGGGTCTTACTACTAGATCGGACTCATAGTGATTCTCCTGTGTACAGCCTCACAAGTGTTGGGATTACAGGCACGCACCACCACCCCTAGTCTCAATCACTATCTCAGTGCACCCGGGGGCGGGGCCTGCATGGCAGTCCCAGGGATTGAACCCCCGGCCCCTGTGCCTGCTTACAGGCACTTTAATCTGCTGAGCTATTTGGCTGGCCTTTGTTATGCATTTTTTAAAGCCACAATAAAAATAACTGGCAAATGGATAAATAATACATAGCTTGTATCCACACAATGGGAAACTGTTCAGTAAGTAGAAGGAATGAAGCAGCATCATGTGGATCAACTCTGAAAATATGCTGATCACAAGAAGCTAGTTAGAAAATGCCATATATTATATGATTTGATTTATACAAAATGTCCAGAACAGGGCAACCACCCATACAGAGAGAAAGCAGAGGCAGGGTGACCAAGGCAGACTGGGCAGGAAGAGGGAAGGTGAGGGAAGGTGAGGTCAGGTCAGGGAAGGGAAGGGACAGATTGTTTATCTTTGCTATAATGACACTGTTCTGAAATTGACTGTGACAGCTAGAAAATCTTGTGAAAATACTAAAACCTCTTGCTCATTTAAGAGCATGATTATATGCTAGGTGACTATATTTCTGAGAGGTTCTGGCCTCAGTATGAATTGCTGAATCATGACGGTGGCCATCTAATATGGCTGATGCCCTTAAAACAAAAGCCCATCTTCCCAAGGCCACCTCCCCTTCTGCGACTCAGTCCGGGGTACAATTGCCTCTCACCCTTCCCGCGCCTCAGGGAAGACCCTAACCAGCTCCCCCAGGTCTATCTAAACATCCCCTTCGAACTCCGCCCCTGACAGAAGGTCATAAAAGCCTCAGCCTCCCTTTGTTCCAGTCAGAGAAGCCCTCATCTTCCCCACATTCTCTCCCTGTCCTCCAAGATAATAAAGCCACTTGCCCTTTTTCCTTCTGCCTGTTTTTCCGCTGCACTGGGTGCCTAAAAAGACCTATCAATTTCAGTATTCTTTTACTTGGTACAGAGTCTTGCTCCACAGCTCAGACTCCTGGTGAGCCTCCTGTCTCAGCCTTCCCAGGACTGGGATTACAGGCGTGTAGCACCATGCCTGGGGTTCCTGGGCCAACACAGCATGCAGTACCAGAGATTGAACCCGGGTCTTTGCATTTGCCAGGCAAGCGGTCAGGCTGCTGAGCTATCTCTCCAGCCCCTATTCTTTTACATGCTAAACAAATATTACTGGGTTCCTACTCTATGCCAGGAACAACGACAAAAGCCCTGCCCTCACTTAGACTCTGGCAGGGGTGGGGCCCAAAGCACATACAGGAAGCAGAACCAGGGACCACATCTGCTTAGTGCTCAAAGGGAGTAACTGCCCCAGGGAAGGACTGCAGCCTGTGGGCCTTGGATGGTGGCTTGGTGCTGAGTTTACACAAGGGTGCTGGGGAGGTGTGGGGTGGTGGGCCAGGGCCTGTGGAGGTGTAGTGGAAGAGTTCCCAGCAGTGAGAAAGGCAACTCAAAGGCCCAGGAATAGAGTCTGGGGACAGAGGGACGGAGGCGAGGGACACAGTAGGCGAGAAGGGCAGCAGCAGGGTGTCAAAGAAGGGAGGCAGATTGAACAAGGCTAGGTTAGGACACTGGTCTGCACCAGCACCATGGAGGTCGAGAAGGGAAGCAGTGGGACCGGACTGCATGTGAAAGGCTCACTCTGCTGCTGGGTTGGGAAGCTGATGGTCAGGGGACAAAGGAATAGCTTGGGGGCCCTGGAAAGCAACTGCATACATAATCCATCTGAGAGGTGTCAGCCAATCAGGGAAGTGTGACACGTGATCTGACTTTAGACATATTTTGAAGGCACAGCCAGATTTCCTGACAGACTGAATACAGGGTAAGCCAGAGAGAAGAGCTGTGAAGGATTCCACTACTCCTGCTTGGGAACACGAGGAGCGGAAAGGACCTCAGTGAAGGTGGAAGCCTGGTGCTCTGTCCTGGCTGTCGAGGGTGGGGGCACCTATCCAGGGAGGGGTCTGCAGTGTGGGAAGGAGGTCACACCACGTGGCACTGGCATGTTGAAAGTGAGTAAAGTCATGAGGCTGGCAGAGATCCAGAAGGGGGGAGAATGTGCAAGGACAGGGGAAGCCAGGAGTGCGGCAGTGTGCACAGTGTGTTCATCTGGCTCTGGGAAGCCCGGCCTGTGCCTTCATCTGGGACAAAGTGCTGCGTGGGTGTCTGGAGTGTGTGGCACTGGCCCTGGGGGTATCAGGAAGCAGATGAGGGCCCAAAGAGGCTGACAGTGACACCCCTCCTTTGGTTCCTTTGGTCTCCTTGGAAAGACAGGGACTGAGGAAGTTACAGTCACATCACAACCTATAAAACCAGAAGCTCGCACAAAATTGGGAAAGCCTGCTTGCTTAAATCATTCCTGGGGTGCCGTCAGGACTGTTCCACTAGTGCTCCAGAAGTGAGCGGGTCAAAAAGCCAAGAAAACTGTAGGACTCAGGCTGGCCTCTAACTTTTTGCCAGTAACCTTAGGCCCCCCAAAAACCAGGACTGAGGCGGAGGTCCTTCCCCAGCTGACCTCGGGGTTAAGCACTTAAGTTCACCAGCATTCTGCATCTCGTTGTTTCTTTTCTCACCTGCATTATTGTCCTGGTAACGGACGGAAGTTTTATAACTTCGAGTTTCTGTGACCTACTGATGCTGGACCAGGGGAACCCATGCTAGCCCAGGTACTGAGCATGGCAGGGCCATCTGGGAGTAGCTCAGTGCCCGGGACTGCTGTTGCTGCCCCTTGCTGTGCTGACCGCTTCCCTAAACAGATAAGGTCATTAACGAACCCTTCAAAGAGAGACTTCTGAATAGGACAGAGGCTGAACTGGTGTGTTTGTCCCTCTTGTCCCTCTGGCTAATTCCCCATATGCCATGGGGCATGGGCAATTTTGATAAATGTATGGTACTGAAAAGGCTGGCACTGGGTTTGTAATATATTTCAATGGAAGTTTTTTTTTTTTTTTTTTTTTTTTGTGGCTGGCTCAGCCTGCCCTGGGGTTGGGGTTGGAGTGGCATATGGGTCCAGGGGATTGAACCATGGTCCCATGCGCTTGCCTAAGCATACACTTTAGACCACTGAGCTATCTTGCCAGCCCCTGTTGGAAGGTTTTTGATGTTATCACTAAATATAAGTCAACTAAATTCACAATGACCAGGAAGACCGATGTGGCCCCTCTTTTCCACTAGATCGCAGGAGCCTATGAACTTGACCCACTAGGAGGTGAGTCTGGCAGTGTAACACCTGCACTCCCACCCATGGGAGGATGCCTGCCCACTGTGCAGGGCTCTCCGCCACTTCCAGGCCTCCTGGGCCTATGCACTTCCTGCTCAGCCTGTCCTTCACTGTTCTCCTTCCAAACCAGACCAGACTTGAGGCCTCCACGGCCTCCCAGCTCAGTGCAGCCCTCACAGCACCAGGTGGCACCGGCTCTTCCTGCCCCCTGCAGCATCTCCACATCCCACCATGGCAACCGCATATCCTGACCCATGAAGCTGCTTGCTTTGGGTCTGTCTTGTTGGAATAGGAATTGCACATCCTCAGCCCTAACACACACTCTCTAGGTTCCTATTTCCCACAAATATTTGCTAAACTGTCCATTCACGTGAGTGACATTTATTCATAAAGATGTTGTCCATGTGTAAAAAGTGGTAAGAAACTCATAAAAAATCTAAACAGAAATTCCAAAATCCCTCAAAAGCCAGCAGCATGTAAATGCCACCAAGTGGGAAGATTTTCCTCTGTGAAGAGCCAGGCTCCAGAAGGGGCTGGGGCACCCCAGGGAGCTTTCCAGAGTGGCGCAGCCCACACAGACACTTGGTGTCCACCGGCTGCGCTGACCTGAACAACAACGCGCACCAGCCACCGCACAGGAGCCACTTATGTTACAACCTGGAGAGGCTCATTCTAGACAGAAGGCGCAATGAAAGAAGTCACTGAGAGAAGACACCAAATGTACGTCTTGAGCTATGGCCGAGCATGGCCTGGCGGCCCAGTGCTGGAAGCTTGGTTCCTAGTGTGGTGCTGGCAAGAGCTGGGGCCTGGTGGGAGGTGAAGAAGTCTTTAGGGGGTGGTTAACGCTTTTCTCCTGGGAGTCCACTGTTGTTCTGAGGGTCCTGCAAGAGCAGACTGTTACGGAGCGCGATGTGCATGATGCTCCTGCAGTCTCACTTGCACCGTCTTGCTGTGTGGTTTCATCTGTACCAGCTATTGTGAGACCACCTACATTAAGGCCCTCAGCAGAGCTGATACCAGCACCAGGCTCTTGAGCCCATACAACTGTTAACTGAGCAAGCCTTTTCTTTATAAAGTACCCAGCCTCAGGCATTTTGCTACAGCAATATAACATGCACTAATACAAGTCTACAGCCCCCTCATACACATGCTCATGCACCCATATGCACATTATTGCCTTAACCCTTCATTTCCTTAAGGTGACAGCATTCGTGAAAATGGAGCGTCCTAGGACTTGTTGACAGTTGACGTATGCAGACTATAGCAACTGTCTCTACATTGGTAGCTATAATCCAGCTCATACGCTAACGCACAGAGCTTCAGTTCTATGAGATCGTCACGACGTTCTCTCTACATCTGGTTTCTATTCTCCGGGAGCCTGCACCTACCTGCTGCTTGTTCTCTTTGGAATATGGCAACATGGTGGAAACGTGAAACATGATCTCATGCCCTTGGTACACAGTGTAGACCGAGTGTATCCCTGTGGTGTCATCTGTAAGATACAAGTGGCATTTAGTGCACAGAGAGAACTGAGATCGTATGCACACAGACGTCACTTTCAGATGAGGGACATGCAGTACGCAGCACATTCTCAAAGATCTTTCTGGATTATCCACCAGAGAAGAGAAGCAACAGAAGATCGCCCAAGTGTCACTGCTCTACTTCCTGCATGGCTCCTCCTGTTCTACGTGGACAACAGATCTTTCTAGACTTGCTCTCTGTCAGGTTCATGTCTGGCCTCAAAAGAGAGATCTGACAGCTGGACTAAGAAGAGTGTGCTCTAACTCCTTGATTCCCAGTTGCTGGGTGTGCACAGGATGAAGGCAATGCAAGATGACACAGCCGTCCCAGGAGCTGAAGGACGGGATGCTTCTGGTGGGACTGTGCAGGAGGCGAAAGCACGGGCTCTGGAGGGCGTCTGGCAGCCCTGGACCCAAGTTCTCATCAGCTGCGTTACTTTTCTTTCTCAAAGTTTAAGGGCTCTTTTATTGTATTATCTTAAGTTATTACTTAAAAAGAAAGTTACTTTTGGCAAGTCACCTCACCGTTTTTCTGGGTCTCAGTTTCTTAGCTTCAAAGTGGAGATGAAAGTAGCATCTGCCCCCAGGGATGTTAGCAAGCCTGCCAGGTGCACTTTGGTGGGTGGCAGCCAGGATCCCACCTGTGAGGCTGGGGGTGGCCGCCGGTGATGATCTGGCAGGTGCCTGGGTCCCCCCCATGCACTCAGACACTGAGGGAAGCCGGGCCAAGCCCTCCATCCCCATGCTGGTCAGGGAAGCCACTTCCGGTATAGTTCTCACACACAGCTTCCAACTCAGAATCTAAGAAATGGGGCCAGGGAGATGACTCAGTAGAATAAGTGCTTGCCTGGCAAGTGCAAGGGTCTGAGTTCAATCCCCAGTTCCGCAAAAAAAAAAAAAAAAAAAAAAAAAAAAAAAAAAAAAAAAAAAAAAAAGCAGAATCTAAGAAACGATGCCAGTGTGTGCTGGGGGAGAGGCTCCTGGCAAGGGCAGCTGGGTGCTGGAGCTTGCTGCACTTGGGCCAAAGGAGCCTCACACCTTTGCCCGACCAATCAAACAAAAGAATAAGAGTAGAAACACAGGAAGCAATCCCCAATCTGTTTCTTTTGTTTTTGTTTGGTACTGGAAACTGAATTCACAGCCTGGTGCCGGCCAGGCAGGCAGGGGCTGTGCTGTCGAGTGACATCTCCGGCGCACGATCCCCACTCTGAACCTGTGATCTCATCTGTCTCTGCCTTGCAGGTCCCAACACCCAGATGCTTTCCTCAAATGTTCTCCAATTCACTGCTGGTGCCACCACCCGCCAGCTGCGCCAGGCCCAGAGTGGGGGACTGTGCTGAGCCCCTTCTCCTCTTCAGCCCCATTCTCCATGAGCACAGGTCCTGTGTCCTCTGCCCTGGAGAGGGCCCGCCCTGCCGGCACACCCAGCCACAGAGCCCCGCCCCTCCTGTCTGGGGCAGCTGTGCCTGCCTGGTTCTTCTTCCCTTTCCCTCCATGCCACTCTCCATGCAGCTGCAGCCCCACGCACCAACTACGTAATGACTCCTGACCCCAGTACACAGTGACACCAGTACGACCAGAAATCCCCACAGCATCACCCCTGCTCCCATCTCCAGTCCATACGGCAACCTCCCTGCAACCTCTGCTCTCCAGCTGCAAAGGTCTTTCCTGGGCCCTTCTTGTCTCAGGGACTTCACAGATATTCCCTCCGCGTGGCATTCTCTTCTCTCACTCACGCTGCTCCCACTCATCACTCTCTCCCTCTTGTCTGGAACATCATCGCCTTCCCTAGTCCCCCAGATATGGCACAATGCCCCATGGTGCTCTGCTCTTCCCAGCTCCTGCAAGCATCCTGTGGTAAACCATTTGATAACTATCTGTTTAATATCTATGTTGCCCAGTGGGCACCAGGCTGCTAGAGGCAGGGACCGTGCTGGTTTATCCACATCCCCAGAGCCAAGCACAGTCCTGGGACACAGATGTACTCAACAGTTAGCACAACCAGGTGCTGCTGGAAGACAGAGACAGTTGCTGAGAATGGTGCAGTCGTTAGGCCACTGTGCTGTGTGAATGTCAGAGTGTTCTGATACAGTCTGGCTATGTTGTCACAAGAAAACACAATTTCTGGGCCTATGTGGTGGGTGTGGAAATGTCATCAGGCAGCACCTGACTGTGCTTATGGGAGACCATGAGTCCTGCCACCTCCGAGGGCTCCGAGGGCCCCCGTGTCCAAAGACCCATGCAAAGTGAGCTCACTTCTGCTCAGAAGCTGAGCAGACTGTGGCGCTCAGCTTCCCTGCAGTCGGCTCTGGTCCATCTCCACCCACACCCCACCCTGAGTACAAATTCAAGTGCAGGTCAGGCTGGCTAATGCATTCTACCAATAGTAACAGAACAAATCAGGAGACAATCTTACTTTTGGTGTCCAGACCGCCGCGGTAGCCTGTCCAGCCCTTTAGAGTGATTGTGTCACCCAGGAGATTTAAAAATTTTTGAAAAGTTTCACTTCCAATTTCTGTGGAAGACGAAAAGTATGAAGAAACTGAGTATCAGTAAGTCCTTGTTTCCTAACAATGCACCGAAAGCTTGCCCTTGGAAAGCAGACTCCGGATGTCTGCAGTAGGTAACAGCACAAAGTAACCTTTCCTTCTTGGGGCCATAAGGCAGCCCACAGTTCCCAGGAATCCAAGGAAAGGAAAATTCCAACTTTACCACCATTAGACAAGGGACACAGGCACTTAGTATGGGGGAGAAAAAGTGACTACTGCCTCCATTAACTGTAAATAGGTACATAATATGAAAAACAGTGACGAGGAGGACACTACCTTATGATTCTTCAAACCATAATAATCACAGGAACAATTTTCCACTAATTTTGAGACCTAAAGAAGCAAATTCTCCATATTTATGTGCTTTTTCACGTAGGCTGTATCTCTAGTACCCTGAGCAGGGACTGTTAGAAATTAGTGATCAGTGTTATTTGCCACATAAATGAAAACGAAATGCCCGATAAAATTTGCCCTGAAGTTTTGTGAAAGTATCTCCTTGGATTAAAATTCCAATTCACCAGATGAGTTCAGTCCTGGCAGGTGGTCTTGTAGCAGTCCAGGCTGGCCTTGAATTCATGATGCAACTCAGGCTGGCCGTGAACTTGTGGTGATGCGCCTGCCTCAGCCTTCTGAGTGCTCGAATGACAGGCGTGTGCCCCTATGCCTGGCAAATTACTTCAATTCTGAATTCAAATTACAAGGCAGCATGATGTTTCTGTCAGCAGAAAGGAGGAAGCACCCACTCACCGTTGCTGAACATTTCGTCATCAGTGAGCTGTCCATCTTTGGCAAAAACAACCCCGAATTTGAAATTCACAGAGCCCTTTCAATAGACAACAAAAGACAGTTTTATCATCCAAAGTTAATTTTACCATCAAAGCCAACAGTTATGAGATAGGACTACTGCAGTCACCAGGATGGGTGCTTGGGGGACTCCAGTGTTAATCAACATCAGTGGCCATTTCTTTATTATTTATTTTGAGGGGAGGTCTCTAATAGTCCAAGCCGGCTTCCAATTTGCAGTCCTCCCACCTCAGCCTCCCAAGTAGCTTGGATTACAAGTACGAGCCACCATGAGCAGCTCGTTCCTTTGTGGTTTTCATGGCTTATAGATAAGAAGATAAGCTTTTTTGTGTCTCTTCATCTGTAATCTCATTACTAACGGCATCTGCAGGATGTCAGGTCCATTCTGGGGCAACACAGTGTGACAGGCACATGGCCACAGCAAGCACGGGGCGATGCATCTTCTAATCCACCGCCAACAAGTCCAATCCCCAGTCAGCAAAGGACAGCTAATTGGGATTCAAAGCTGAACCTAACAATCTTAGGCTGATGTCTTGTGGACTCTTTTAGAAATAGAAATGGAAATTGCAGGCAACTTATACTAAATGCTCATTTTCCCCAATTCCTAAACATATTTAATCTGAATAAGTCACAAAGCAGATGTGGAAAAATTGAAAAAGAAAAAAAGTAAGCCAAGAAAGCAGTAGTTGGTACAAGTGTGCAGTCTGCCATCCTCAACTTTAATGCCAGATTAATACAACCTGTTCCTGGTCCTGAGGTCCTGATTGGGGAGGTGGGGAAGAGAAACGGGCCAGGGTCAGCGAGTGAAACCGGGGTCTCCACTGCATGCTGAATGTTTTTAATGTTTTGTTCTTTAAGATGGGGAGTGGGCTTTTACATTTTCATGTACTATTTCCTTCCTTTCTCTCTCTCTCTCTCTCTCTCTCTCTCTCTCTCTCTCTCTCTCTCTTTCTTTCTATGCTGGAAGTATTTCACAGTAAAAAGAAATCCATTTGGAAGAAAATCAACCTCTATGCGGTTGCTTGAGTCACTCCCAGTAGGTGGGGCTTCTTGGTGAGCAGTGGGGTGGGTCAGGCCAGGGACAGAGTGCTCAGGGCCTGTGCCACTGCACCAGTGGAGGGAGGTCACAGCAGAAGGCCAGGGTTCAGGAAAACTGGACCTGGGAAAATTAAGAATCTGAAAATCCCAGAATCTGTGCTTCTAAATATTTACAAGATCGACACCCAGCCATGAGCAACAGCAGACTTCTCCAGAGGTGGGAAAGGGAGGGCGCTCACAGCTGACTCTCCCAGAACATGCCCCAGTGCGCGGGACAGCTGCTGCTCCCCACAATGCAGACCTCAGCGCAAATGGCAATTTCCAGAGAGGCCTTTCCTAATGGCCCTGGTATAAAGCCAGTGCTCAGCCTTCAGCAGGCTACTCGAAGCACTTTCTAGAACTTTCAGGTCTTCTGAATCTAAACCCCTGAAGGAGGAGTTACATGTTTTACTTCCTGTAGAATCCACAGAGCTGACTGGGTACCAGGAACCTTGCTGATAATTGAGTATTCACGGTATAAGTGATGGAGTATACAATAAATGACAACAGAAATGACACCGACCAGAAACCACTTTTCTCTTGTGGTCTCTGCGTGACCACTTCTTCCTCACATATCAGTTTTTGATTTCTTAGAATTTTGTCAGGAACTTGTACCCACTGCTTTCAATAGTTTGTCACTTTTTTTCTGCATTTAAAAAGTGATGACAGCAATTTCCAGTCTTCTGGATACTGGAACCACCTCTCCCATTCTTGGGAGTCTATTTAAAAGCACTCACAAGCAATCTGGGATCTAAATGATGGCCTTCTTGGAGTAACCCTGCAGGGCCTGAACAGGTGCTACCCCATGCTGACCAGGCCTCAGGCTCCCCTGGAGGGCTCCTTAGAGACAGCTGGGTCGGTCTCTGGAGTTTCCCCAATGGGCAAGTTTATATTGGGACTGTGTCTGTGTTTGATAGGTTCCCAGGGACCTCGCTTTGAGAACCACCACACCAGAGGACAAACGAGGCCTAAGATCAGGTCCAGCTGACCTAACTGTTACCAAGTCCAGGACAAAAGCACCAGGTCCACTCATCAGAGCTGTGAGTGATGAATGAATAGCACATTATGACCATAGCCCACAGAACCCACATTTTCATTTACTGACGGGACTGGGAGGCTGGGGAAGACGAGATTGTGCCGGGCTGGTACTGAGTGAATGGTGGGGCTGGTACGGACCTCCGCCTCTTGCCAGTGTCATGGCCTGGTCCTCTCCAGATGGCTCTGAGAACTGTGCATCACTGAGAGCTCTCAGCAGAGATGGGGCCGACTGTCACCTGGACACTGGCCAAAGCTTTTCAAAGCCCTACGGGGCTATTCTGAGGCTGGCACTGTACTGTGGGTGTCCTTGTTGAGGACCCACCCTACTTTGGATGGAGACCCCAGAAGAACCGGTGTTGTAAGGTCTAAGCCATTATCCCACGGTGTTGGGGTCAGCCTGAAGAACTGAAAAGCCTGTTGGGCATGGACAGGGCAGAAAGGCAGCCTTTCGGATATCCATACACCCAGAGGTATCAGATCCTCCACGTCACCTACAGGCAGGAAGAGTATAGGTCCAGGTTTGCCAAGGCATCCCCGGCCTCAATCTGTTCTGTTGGCCTGATGTCTTGAATAACTACTCTCAAAAGAGTTCCAGTTTACTGACAGAACCACTGGCTTTAGGGGAAGGTTCCAGAAAGACTGTCACAATGCTCCGTTAAGTTTTTAAACCTACGTACAAGGCTTCATTTAGGTAAATCTTATTTCTAGGGCTTCTCGAATATATCCATGGCTAACAAAGGTTCTATTGCTAAAATGAAGGTACTGGTCAAAATAATGAGTTATGTCATACTTTAGGAGGGAGAGTGTGGTCTTGGATAGCTGCCAATAATGGATCACTTCAGGTTGCTGTTTTCTGGTGCTGGGGATGGAACCCAGGGTCTTGCACGACACTCAGCACATGCTCTACCCATGGGCTGCATCCCAGCACCTGAAGGGTCATATCTGAACAAGCTACTCAACCAAACACCATCTGTGCTTCCGAAGATGGCTGCATGTGGACCTGGAGGGAAGGAGAGGATTCTTGAGGTCCCAAGACCAGATGTGGATGCCAGGGGAGGTAACTGCTGGAGGTTAATCCATGGTGTTGTTACCTATCTTAGTTTGTACAGAACCTAAAAACATTAGGCTCTAAGTTTCTTTAGCCAGTACTCAACATGACTGTAGGTGCATTCTTGGTTAACCGTATGATAGGAAGTGTTTTTCTTCTGTGAAAAGTGAAGTATGAGGGGAAAGGAAAGTCTCAATGATTCCCAAAGAATCTTCTGGAACTGGGAAAGGATAGTCTTATTCAAAACTTGACATCGTGGTCCCCATGACCCTCATCTGGACAAAGCTCTCTGTTCCCACAGTGCCTTGCTCTGTGTGTGCTATGGCACTTAGGCCACGTGCTCTTGCGCGGCACCTCTTACGCAGTGGACACACAAAGCATGGGTTTAGGGACACTGATACCACTTTACCAAATAGCTAACTTTATAGAACAACATTAGTCCTTTTTTTTCCGGTACCGGGGATTGAACTCAGGACCCCGTGCTTGCCAGGCAAGCACTTATTCTGAGCTATCTCTGGGCTGTCATCATTAGTCTTGTTTATTAGCTTTTTCTCCAGCCCATCTTTGCAAGTGCTGGTTCACAGGCTAGACTCGGGAATAGATACTCCCTGTGGAGCCCAGCTCAGAAGCTGCAGGATTCAGTGGGAGTTTTGGGGCTCTGAAGGCTGCTGGCTGTTGCTTACCCTCTCCAAGGCATCACTACAAGGGACTCTTGCCACTTCAAGCAAAATAGCCCCTAGCAAGGAAAGAACACTGAGAAACACAGATCTGGCTTGTACAGCCCAGGTGAGAGAAGATGGGCGGTGTCAACACACCAGAGCAGCTGGGTAGGGGCGCTGAGGGGGGCTGGGTTTGGGATATTCTATGAAGAACTGTCAACAAGATGTGCTGATGGGCTAAATAAGTGTATGAGAGATCAGTGTTAAAGATTTTACCAAGGTCGGCCCAAGCAATTGCACAAATGCGACTGTCATTTACTGAGAGGCATAGTATACATACATGATCATTTATTTAATCAACTGCCTATTGAACAGATTTGGATATTTCTATAGGTTAGTTTACCTATTCAGAAAACCAATGTTTAAAAAAAAATAGACAACAGGAAACAGAAATACACAAATATGGCTGGCATCTTGTATCTCAAGAAAGCAACTAAGGCTCAGACATCCTAATTTAATTTGATGGAAATTAAAATCTCATTACTCACCCTGAACTCAAGGTTGACATCTGAAGCAGATTTAAAAACTTTGGTTGTTTTGCATGACTGTATATGCATTGCTTCTGAAGTTTACCTTGAGAAAGCCCCTCGGTAAAGTGCGTCTGCGAGGCCCATCGAGGGGCTGACTTTTATGAGAAGGGAGAGTGCACATGCAGACAAGGAGCAGGGCTGCTCTGCGGAGCTACTCACCTCTTGTTCTTCCAAAACCAGCAAGTCCTGCCAAGTGAAGCGCAACAGTTACGTCCACACCTTACAGCGATCACTTCACTCTGGCTTTCTGTGAAAGCCCGATTTCAGCTTATTCGCAGTGGGTTGCATTAAGACATTTTGCAAATGATCAAGGTTGGTTATGAGGTTTTGGGAAACAAAACAAAATGAAAGACTATGACCAAACACAGGAGCCAAGATTCTTGGGTTTCCCCCTATGACTGGCCTGATCCTAACTCAGCTTCCGTCTTAAGAGGGTTGCATGAGGTCGCAGCCCTAAAGGCTCCTGGCTTAAGTCCTTGCTGTGGCTCTGGCCCCAGAGGAAGTTCCCTGCAGGGTAAGAGGATGGGTGGGGGTGGAGCGCCTTGTGTGTGGTGGAGACTTCATCAGCCTTCAGACACTTTCCTTCTCGCCCTCAGCCACACCATAGATAAAAAGAGTCTGCTGAAAATACATGCACACTTCACAGGCCATCATACTAATAAATGCCTGGAAGCTAATGGCCACCTCCTTGAGCACCTCTTCTAGTTGCAGAGGTAAAAGTACCTGTATGAATCTCATATCTCAATAAATTTAGTATTAAAATATTTATACAAGGTTTTTTTTTCCTGATATATACTTTTTTTTGTGGATGCTATAGATCTGTAAACTAATTACATCAAGTCCCATTTTTCCAGGATCTATTTCTAAGAAAGTACACGGTGGCTGACAGGCAGATACCAAAGCCTGAGGCTCCACGGGGATTAGCAGATGACACTAAGTGGGGAAGGGCAGGCCCAGTGAGCCACAGCACGCATGTGGCAGAGAGAAGGGCCAAGGGCCAAGATGGAGGCCAAGCAGGCTGGAGAAGGCCTTTCCCTCCTCCTTGCCTCAGGTTCTCTGGAGAGGACTCCAGCAGGCTGGAAACCCAGCAAAGCTGAAAGAACTGCATGAGGTACACAGCCTTGGCTTATTTACCAGGAAGCCTCCTCATGCAGAACTCAGCCATCTTTATTATTTCTGAATCCTGGGAAGAAGTAACATTACTGCACTCTTTCCAATGTGGGAGCCTCTGTATTTGTGAGTCACTGTAGATTCCCTTGCAAAATTCCCTTGTATAGTTTATGATCCCTGCCACCCTGGGGCGCAGGTTCACTGCGCAGGTTCACAGGTGAGACCTGGAGGCTCCGAGGGGCCTGGGAGAGGCTGTGAGCCTCAGGCTGTTCTACCCACACTGGCTGTGGGGAGAAGCTGAGGGAAACACACACCTGTCAGCTTCCCAGCTGCCAGGAGCTTGGCAAGTGTGAGGCCTCGGCTCTGTGACATCGGCCCCAGGCCTGGGGCGGGGGGCAGGCTCTCGTTGGTCAGGTCTCATCAATCGGCCTCGAGCTCAGGGGTCTCGGCATTTGGCCTAGGGGCAGGTGTCACGGCGCTCACAGTGTGTTATCTTGCAGTTTCCTTGTCTTAGGTTCCATCTGCTCAGAAGGGGTGCTCCTGCCATGTGTCCTGGTTTGCCAATGTCCCAGGGAACTTGCCAAGTATTTTAAATATTTGTAAATTGGTCACTATCAGATCCTTTCTCTGCTGTTCCCTGGTTTATAATTTTGGTCTCAGAAAGTATAATCTCAGTAACAAATCTGTTTTCCCTTCTTTTCTTCCTTTAGTACTACAGACTGAACACAGGACCTTGCACTACACCACCCCCCCTTTCTCCCTGCACTTCTAAATTCTGTGACTTGGGATCCTCCTACCTCCACCTCCCAGACCACTGGGATTATAGGTGTGCCAATGCCGTAATCCCAGCCAATACTTGTTCTTCACATAGTCCTACTGGTGGTGTACGTGATAAAGGTATGACTCTAATTGTTAGTTTGAGCTGGTGCTGAATTTTATTTTATTTTTTTGGTGCTGAATTTTTAAAAAAAAATGTTATAAAAGGACTTGGGAGACAGTGACTATTACACATGTATTTAAAATGTTTTAAAGTTCAAATTTAGCCCTACAGAATTAGGAAAGTCAAATCTAACTAACAGGATGATGGATAGAAAATTACAAAAATTACAAAAATAAAAAAGATGATGGGTAGAGGCAGGAAGGCGCAGCCAGGAATGGTGGTGCACATCTGCAATCCCAGCCTTTAGGAGGCTGAAGTAAAGGGATGGCAAGTTCGAGTTCTGCCTGGGGAACTTAGCAAGACACTGTTTCAAAAGAAAAAAAAAGGGGGTGAGGCTGAGGCTATAACTGAGTGGTGAGTACCACTGGTTTGATCCTCTGGTACTGGGAGAAAAAAAGGAAGAAACACACAGACACCCAGGTGCCTCCATCCGTTTAAAGCTAGTTTCATCACATGTTGCTTCTGCAAAGATTTTTTGTTGCAAAAATGTCACTACAGCTTTGCAGCCAGAAACAGATAAAGAACATTTTAAATAGCTCCTTGAGCGGGGGGGAAGATGCTTCCTTTGCAATGCAGTCGGTTTAGCATCTGCTCATCCTCGGGGGGCCGCGATTGCTAAGAACTCTGCCTGCACCCAAAGCCCATTACTGAGGGCTCCCAGGGGACTTCTTCAGCAGAACCTGGTGGCGGCTGCAGTACGGAGCAGGGACTGAGCCCCTCTCAGGCTGCTCATGCACAGAGGGCGGGGGAGGCTCGGGAGGGCTCCTCATGATGGGCAGGTCAAAGCACAACTGTAGGGAAGTGTGAAAGCATCTTTCGTTTGATGAAAAACAGCAAGAGGGACCACAGAATGCTGCTGGATCTTTCTTCTTGTCCTCTTCTACTGTATGGAAGAGGAGACAAGGATGGCCCGCAGAGATGGGCTCTGCAGTGGCAGAGGCAGAGGAAGTGCCAAGGGTCGGCTGTGGGACCCTGCACCCCTAGCTGGGGCGTGGGGCTGGAGGTGGGGGTCACCCCAGTGTGGAGGAGGAGAGCATTAAGAATCTCAGTAGTGAAGGGGGCCAGCACGCTGGTCCTGGCAGGCTTTCATTTCTAACTGGTTCAGACCTGCTATGCCCACTTCAGGCATGTCTGGAGGTGCTCCTGTGGGGATGTTTTAAAAGCCACACAGGTGATTTTGCTCTGAATCCAAGACTAAGAATCCCAGTGGCCTGTCAGTTCCACCCTAACGTGGTGATCAGTTTTATACAATTACAAAGCAGAAAACTTTCCATTACCTTTTGTATCTCAGGATGAAAAATCTCCCTAGGACCTTTCTCAAATTTGTCCAGATTCATGGCACTGAAACAGAACAGAGCTACAATGAGCTACAGTGTCATGGAAGCCTAAGGTGCAGCTCGCCTCAGTCCTTCAGAGACGCTAAGAGCTTCCAGAAAGCACAGCTGGATTCTGGGAGGGGCCTGGCACGCAGGAGGTACAAATCAACAAAGGAGGGAGGGATGGATGAATGAAGATGTGACAGTCACCCAATGCCACATTCCACTTTGCTTACATAGCTGTCTCTGAGTAATGCTCATGACATACTAGGGGGAGGGGGGAATCAGGAACACCTGTTTCAGGTGACTGTGACCAATCTTCCAGATTTTTTTTTTTTTTAGACAGGGTCTTGTTATGTAATTCAGGCTGGCCTTGAACTTACTACATAGCCCAGGCTGGCCTCAGACTCTTGGCGTCCTCCTGCCTCAGCCTCCTGAGTGCTGGGCTTATAGGTGTGTGCCAGATTCTTATTTTTATTTATTAGGAAAATGATACAATGTAAGATTAATGGATATTTTCTTCTGCCTTTGGCAACTGCTTGGCTACCTAGGGAAAAATGTTTGTAAAGAGTGTTTGTTAATGCTTTATTTTGGACAGGCAATGTTAACATCCTTGAAGTTCCTCTACAGGTAAAACAAGGAGTGTCAACTGATGATTCTAGGGTCCCTTTCGTTGGGCACTAATGGTCACGAGTGAAAAGTAAAAATAAGAATTATAGGGGCTGGGAAGATGGCTCAGTGGAATAAGTGCTTCCCTGGCAAGCGCAAGAGCCTGAGTTCAATCCCCGGCTCCACCAAAAAAAACCAAACCAAAACAAAACAAAACAAAAAAAACCAACAACAAACTAGTATGCACAGAATACTTACTACATGCCAGGCATCTGCACCTGCTAAGTGCTTTGTGCGATTTATCTTGGGTAGTCCCTACGAGGCCAGCACGATTTTGTTCCCATTTTAGAAGTGAAGAAATTGAGGCTCAGAAGTTAAGTCTAACAAAGCTGGTTAGTAACAGAGATAGGACTTAAACTCAGGCTTACCTGACGCAATAATCCAACTAAATGAAATTATAACTCTAAAAAAAATGCCTATTCTTTAAATGTAGAGAAGAAAGCTACAGTTAACTTTTAGGGGAAATAAGATCAACAGAAATCTTAAGATAGTATAGTTTAGAGAATTTCTTGCATAGCAAGTTAAATTTTACAGCTTCTTAGAAGCAGCAAGATATTTTTGTGTTCAACACAAATGTTAACCTCTCTGTTGAAATTCAGACTTCTCTGGAGAAAAATCAGGAGGCTTAACACAGACAGGAGGTCTGCAATTTGGAGACCAAATCAAGCTTGAAAATGGGATATAAAATTTTACTTCTTAATCTTGATGCCATTTAATGAGCCAGCAGCAGTGCTAACGGAGGCAGCCAAGTCTGGTGCTGTGAGAGACATCTTGGCAAGGGGAGCGGTAGCTATGATGCGTTACCTGGGGACACTGGAAACACATCTGCCACCACCTCGCTGCACACCAGTAGCAAGACATTGCCAGGGCACTGGGATAAGCTTCAGCCTTCACACCAAACGGCATTAGTGGTGAAGAGCCCGAGCCCTGGAGTAGTGGGATCTAGGTTCAAGGCCCAGCTCGGCAGTTTACCCGCGGTGAGCTCTTTGCCAAATCCCTTCACCTCTCTGGGGTGCCGACTGCTGGCAAGTGAGTGGAGATGATCATAGGTCAGCTTCATGGAGCTAACTTACAGACATACTGAGAGAATGCCTGTCAAGCACTTAGCATGGTGCCTGACAAAGAAGCTACTGGAACATCCTCGCTGGTGACCAGGCGACAGGCTGAAGCCTCTGCCCTGGGGGAGCGCACCCAAGGGGAGCTGGCACCCAGGCAAAGGAGAGACAGGGAAGGGAGGTGGGAGCTGGGGCGTGAGGGGCAGCCAAGCAGGGAGCAGCCAGATGTTCCAATTATTTAACTTTCTGTTTGGCAAAGAATAAGCACATTCTCCCAGCGCAGCCTTTGCTGACATGTGGGTTTCTATTTTGAAGTATAAAAATGAAAGGGAAAATATTTCTTTGATTTCTCTTTCTAAAGCCAAAGTATCTGAGTGAACGCAAGAAAAAAGCAGCAAGCTACAAATGCAGGCTGGAGAGATGCTACAGAGAGAAGCTATAGAGCTGAATCTGTGGAGCGCTGTGTGATCTCGGCTTTCTCTTTGGAACCTGCATTACCTCATCCTTAAAATGCGGACAGTAATGGAACCTGTGTTATGGGGCTGCTGCCAAATCGATGTCTGCCAAATCGATGTCTGCCATACAGACAAGGCTTCCTGGAAAGCTAACTCAGGAAGACCACAGGGAAAAGCAATTTATAAAGACTTCCAACTCAGGGTGTGGAATTTTTAGGCATTTATTCATTTTTTTTTTTTTTTTGGTACTAGGAAGTGAACTCAGGACCTCGTGCTTGCCAGGCAGGCACTGTGCCGCAGAGGTATGTCCCAGCCCCTTCAAATTTACTCACCTTAAGATGGACTTTACAGACAGAGTTTTTGTGGGGCTGTAGGGAAGGCATATTTTCTGTGTCCCCTGGAAAAGTCAAAGCACCCCATCAGTGAGGAGTCTGGCAACTTTGTCTCTGCAAAAAATGTCTTATCTAGTTAGTGAAAAGGACTTCCGCCCGGACTTTCTCATTTCTTCTTCAGGGATCATGCATAGGAATAAAGCCATTCTGTGTTGGAAAAACTCTTGCTCAGACCTGACAGCATCTTCTGCTTCTTCTCTGCCCATCAACATTTACAGATTTGAGCATGACTTTTCAACATACGGGTTCTCAAGAGCTTAGTATGGGGGAATATCTGAGCCATGTGCTACCATTCGAGTAAGCATCCCCTAAAGGGCTATGTGTTAAAGGCTTCACTGCCAGCCAGTGAGGCTACTAGAAGGTGGTGGAAACTTTAAGGGACAGGACCTGGTGGGCGGCCATAGGTCACAGGGAAGGGGCAATGCCCTCGAAAGGGATTATGGGACTTGATTTCTTCCTCTCTCATCAGATTCCTCCTGCCAGGATGTGTTGTTCCTTAAGGGCTCACAGCAGGGGGGCCAACCCACCCGGGGCTGAACCCTCCAACACTGCCAGGTGCTTGACCTGATGGGAGGGGCTCGTGTGATCTCAGAGCGAGTCAGGCCAGCCTCAAAGATTGTAAGAAAGAAACAAGTTTCATTTAACAATGGGGTTTACTTACAAGGACTTTAAGTCAAAGACTTGTTGAACTAGAAATCACCTCAATCTTCCAGGAAGCACTTCTGACATATATTTTATGCTTATCTGTGCTGACCTAGGTAAAGTCTATTTTTTCCTTTCTAAATGAGTATCCAATGTAACCAGCTCATAAAAAGTACTCAGTAAGTGCTTCCTGACTTCACGGTCAGGGCTCCGTGAAGAGTTGCCCATAGGATGTGTCCCCTGTCCAAACCACAAGACCAGGCAAGTAGTGTTCTTTTTCTCTGATTGTCTACAAAGAGACAGTGTAGCGCTACACTCCACAAAGGACTTGCTATTACATCGTCAGCAAAAGGGAACACCAGCAAGTACACATTTAGAATTCTTCCTAAATTCGACTAATCACAAAGTCAGCAGCACACAAGGCTAGAGAAGATTTAGGACATAACTTGCAGGACACGGGCAAAGAAAGAAGTACGACTTTCTTTGAGCTTTTGGTGTGCACTGGTCACCTCTCCATTCCAGCCTTGCACAGTGGCCCGAGTGGAGTTCCTTGGCTTTTTCAAGCCATAATATCTTTTCATAAAGAAAATTTCCATAATCACAGCCCTAGAGGCTTGAAACTGTCATCACCCCCAAGGCTGGGCAGCAAGATGTCTTTGCAGTGGACGCTGGAAGTCGCCCACATAGGGCCCACCCTGTGGATTCTCCACCAGTCAAGGGCCTCAGCCTGGCTTCCTACAATCTTAGATACAAACCATTTTCAAGTAAGGAAGGAACACGAGGACAGGAATACATCTTCTCCAATGTCCCAGGTCGCACCTGTGGAGACCCGAGTTCTTTCTGCAGCCTTGCTTTTTACTGGCCCCAGCCTGCCTCACACTGTAGGCACTACTGACGGATATCAACCTGTGGTAGGTCTTCAATCTGCCCTCCCTGCTCAGCAACTTCCTGTCTACCTTTCTTCTTACCAAACACCTGAGAGATAGTTTTAAAGAGAAGTTGAAGGCAGCTTAGGTGGAATGAACAGGGGGAGGCCCCAGTTTATCTGCCTGGGAGCGAGAGGCACTGTCACAAGCTGCCTGTGTGGACAGGAACAGAGGGCTCGTAGGACTCTTCCTTCCCATCTTCTTCTTGTAGCTTTTCAGAGTCCATGCTGAATGACAATGGTTTGGGTGACCCACCCATCACGAGTGCACGTATAGCCAAGTGCGTGCACACATTAGGCTATGTAAAGTGAGAGTGGAGACAGAATAGTGGGCAAACCCTGCCCTATTCACGCAACAGATGTGCGCAGGTGTGTGCATGCATGCCTGGCTGTGCAGAGACATGGCTAGGAAAATGTCACCACGACCACCTCTGAGAGTTTTCTTTTTATTTGCTATATTATCTGGATGGATTTTTTTTTTTTTTTGTAGTACCAGGGATTGAACTCAGGACCCTGTGCTTGCCAGGCAGGCACTTATTCTATTGAGCTATCTCCCCAGCATCTGGATGGAATTTTTACAACCAGTTAGTTTTATAAAAAAGTCTTTTCCATGTGTTTACAAAAAGCCCAGCAGAGGTGTGCATGGCTGTTTAAAGAAGGGGTCTACATTTACTGTTTTTCCAGCTGCTTTATAACCCAACAGAACACGAGCTTGTGGTGGGGTTGGGGAGAGTGAGGTGCCATATCTGGGGAACCCCAACAGCCTCCAGGGCTCCCTGAGGCCAGCAGTGCTTAATAACTGCCCCCTTTGGTGCTGCTCAGTTCCCCACCTCCTCCAGCACCTCTGTTTGCAGCTGGGAGCACACACTCACCTGCTTTAGGCACATAATTTAAGAGACTTTGGGGAAAGGTGGGGAACCATTCAATAAAAGGAGACAAATGCCCTGAGTGCCCAGCCAACGCTGCCTTCTCAAAGGCCCTATAGTTAAATCCCAGGACTCCTCTAACAGCAGCTGAGAGCAACCCCGCAGGGCATGCGCTGCTGTCTTCCACTTGTCAGTCTCTTTCTGGAACATTCATGGGCTGCCTTCCACTCTGGATGTGGCTGGTTCCTTTCCATCCTTCACCTCTCTATTTGGATGCTTCTCTGGCCTGTTGGACCTGAAGCAGATCTCTGGCACTGTTCTCCAGGTTCTACACTGTGCCACGGCCTGTTTTCTCAGCACGTGTCCCATGATTCCTCCCTCAGTACCTCGCCCCCAGCTCAGGTGAGGAAGAGGGCACTGCTACTTTCCAAAAGAAGAAGATGCTGAGAAAACCCACTGCAGAAAGGCAGGAGTGGATGGATTATGGTGCAGGGAGCTGGCTGGGTGGCTTCCAGTGTTGATGACCCAAAAGACCACAGACATGACTGACGTGGTGATCCTGCCTCCTTGAATCTGACTCATAGCTCCCAAGGGTCATGCTGGAAGGGGCTGTAGAGCTTTTGAGAGGTTCAGAGACTAGTACAGACCTGATATTGGATGAGAGAAGGACTTTAGAGGAGGCAAATGGTGGGTTCCAGGGGCAGGTGCTTGTTTTCTCATGACCCAAAAAACCCAGCAACATCTCAGTGGTCCCCATTCTGGATCAGCCAATGCACAACAGAAACCAGGAAAACTCTAGGGGTCTGTCCAAGTACTCTGCCACCTCCAGGCCTTACAACCCTAGCCCCATGTATCCCGATACCAAATGCAAGAGGAGCAGGAGGAGGGCAAAGAAAGCAGACTGATTATTTGTCCAAAGCTACAAAGTGATCCTCAAGGGAATACAGGAACTAGAAGAGATGGGAATGCTGTAATTAATCAATGGAAAATTAACATAAATAAAAAAGTAGGCCAGGAAACTGCCTGCCTGGTAGAGTTGATACGAGGCTCTGGGTGAAGGCACTGTCACTTCTCACCAGGAGGACAACGCAAAGCCCACGGCGCGCGTGTGAAGTGCCCAGCATGGATTTCTGACTGCTGCGTGGATTCTGCTCCAGCACTGCTGTCTGGATGGCAGGGCGGACCCCTGCGACAGGGGCCGTGGTGGGTAGGGGGCTGCTGACACTTCTCTGCGGGAAACTATTTCATGTGTAAGACTTTATACTATATAGATTTTTACCTTCAGCTTGCTTTTAAAAACAAAACTTTCAGACACATACCACGGTGCTTCCATAAAGAGAGGCAGCCCTGCCCTGAAGTTCGCTGGACTTTGGCATCACTTATTAATTCAGCCAACACGTATCTCTGGAGTGCCCCTATGTGCCAGGCCCTGTGCTATCTGGTGGGGACACTGGGCACAGAGCAAGCATGTTCCAGGCTCCTTCCTGTGAGTACACATTCTAGTGGGAGAGACAGTGTGAGCCAAGACAGACACACAGATTTACTTCTGTACAGTGGTGCTGAGGTCCCGTCTCAGATCGATGCAGCCCTGGGATAGCCACGCTGAAAGCAGCTCCTCAGAAAGGCTGCCCGAGCCACCTGGACAGTGTCGCTCACTGAGCCACGTCAGTACTTACCGTTTTTCTCCACAGAATTGCACGGTACTGAGGGACACGCTGATTGTTCTGGTCAGAAAGGGTCACAGACAGGAAGAAGGGGCTCTTCTCTGCATCGTTTCCAATGTAGTTCTGATGGACTGGAAAGAAACAGTGAGAATGCAACTGGTTCCCGAGCCAGTCAGCAGTGCTACAAGCTCCTCCCACATGCGCAGCTAACAATAATCCCATGATTGTCTGCGGCAGACCCTGACCACTCTCTGGTAATTCTGTACACCTTTCCCTTTGCCCATGTTTGGTTTCAGGTTTCAGCAAGTGACCCAAATTCTCGCTAATGAGAGCAAAAGAGAACCCTGTCAAGGGCATCTGCAAAGGCTTCCACTTTCTAAAGTGAGGTAAGGTGTAGAAGGGATGGCTGGACAACCATCTTGTGACCCAGGAGGGCCATAGTAAGCAAACACAAAGGAGAAAGGGCCTGGGTCCTTGATCTCACTGCGCTTTTGAAACCACCAATCCAGGGGCTGCCTTCCTGCAGGCTTCTTGTTCTATCTTTTCTTGCTCAAACTAGCTTGAGCCAAGCTTTCTGTTCGCTGCAGCTGACGGCCTCAAGCGCACAACGCCACTTCCCCATAAAGCCGTCACTGCTCTGGGCTCAGCTTGCAAGCGAGGAGGAAGACAACTTTCCTGCTGCTTTCTTCCTTTATAAATGCTTCTCTATCTCCCAACCCACCCAAATAAATTCTGCCTGGTCAAATATGTGACCTGGTCAAATATGTGACCAAATAAATTCTGCCTGGTCAAGTCTGTACTGGGTTCTTCAAAAGACATCACTTAGGTCTCATCACTCTCATTTAAGAGCCCCAGCAGCACATCTTTAAACGGATGCATTCGGCTGATAGGCACTTTCTCCAACTCATTTTGAACCCTGCAGTAGCAATTATTTTTCCATTCCCCAAATCTTCCGCCGACACACTTCAATTTTCTATCTTTCTGTGTATGTTCCCTGAGACCTCTGTTCATTCTAAATGTACATTAGTGAGCTAGCTCCTGGGACGTGCTAGCCGCTGGGGATAGAGGTATTCTTGCACGTCTCACCGAAATGTCTGTTCAAACCTACTAGGTAGGCACTCGTCGTCCCTCTACTCTGCAGGTCAGGAAGCTGAGCTTCAGGGAATGGAGAGCAACTCGGGCAAGGTCCTATGGCTAACAATGTGGTGATGGCAGAACAAGGATGCAAAACCATTCTCTACAGGCACCATGGGGCAGGGACTGTGCCTGCCTTGTCCTAGGGCCCCACTGCTGTACACACTGCCTGGAAGATAGTAGGTGACAGGTGAGTACTTGACACTGATGAATGAAAGTTCCAGAGCCTACAGTCTAATGCTTCTCTAGTTCTCCATTGGCCCTGAGCTTAGGGAACCAATTCTCTTTCTCATCGCTCTGAAAGATGTGTTCAAGATTCACTACAGATGGAATACTTGCATTAAGTCTGAAATTGTTTTTTTAAAAAATTTTTTAATTAATGTATTTGATATAGGGCCTACAGGGTGTTCAGGGTCTCACTATGTAGGTCAGACTTGTAGTGGTCCTCCTGTTTACAGCTTCCCAAGTACTGGGATTACAGGCATGCGCCACCACGCCCAGTCTCAATTGCCTGGGGTGTGCAGCATCCTGGGGGTCGAACCCTGGCCACTGTGCTCTGCCTAAGCAGGAGCTTTAGTTTGCTGAGCTATCTGGCTGGCCCTGAAGTTGTTTTTCAACTGTGAAAAGGTTTCTTGTATCTCAAAGCACTCGTTCACATTATGTAACTCCCTCTAGTTCTCCAGTGTCAAAAACAAGAGACCAAATAAAACCAGAATCAAAAACCCTAAGACCTCTGAAACTTAGAATAATGCAGCAAACAAACAAACAAACAAACACACACACATACACAAACCCCTAAACAAACACACAAACAGGGTAGAAACTCTCACACTCTACACATTTTACTACTGACCTTGATATAAAATGCCCTGACGTTATTATTCCTACATTGGCCAATTTCACATACACAGGGTACCAGAAATTACACTAACATTCATTTTCACTTTGACTATTCTTTCTTCCCAAACCCCAAAATGGCATAATTACCTTGCCCTAAAAAATACTTGAAATACCATCTGGTGTGGTACTCCGGGTTTTCTAAGTGCACGTCTGTTCTTCGCCAAGTACCTGGCAGGGCAGTTGCATTCTGTAACGGAGCAAAGTTGTGCCATTAAGAAGCTTATTTAGAAAGCAAATAAGAATCTGACAATGAACCAGAGCAAAAGAACTCCCCCCAAAACCCCCCAAAATCCACTGTTAAAAGCATACATGCAAGGGCAGTAACTACATGTTCTCATGAGACCGGACCCTGAAGTCTGAGTTCACATCATGGCCGAATTCTTAGGGGTCCTTTGGGTACACGAGAAAGAATGAACCAACCGGTGAATACAAAGTGCCTGCTTCTGTTTTGAGGCAGTACAGCATCTGGGAGCCGGTGTCCCTGGAGTGAGGCACGTCTCGCCTAGAGCCCACCTCTCAGCATCTCACTCAAGTCCACACGCTTTGTAAAATTTTAAACTAAGTATCATAAAATCACCCAACTCCTATGGAAAATATGGACGAAGAGAAGGAATAATCAAAACCTTCTACCCAAAGTATGATTATTGATACTTTGGTATGTTTTTTCCCTATGTATATGCTAATATCCTTACTTCTTAGCATACACTGAACCAAATGCTAGCCAGATTAAGTACCTAAAACTAATACAAATTATAAAAGTATACCAACAATTGGTCTAATTAATTCTTTTTCTTTTCTTTTCTTTTTTTTTTTCTTTTTCTTTTTTTTGGTGCAGGGTCTCGCTATGCAGCTTGAACTTGTAGTGATCCTCCTGATTTGTGCCTGCCTAGTGCTGGGATTACAGGCATGCACCACCATGCCTGGACTCCATCACTGGCTCAGCGCGCCTGGGTGCAGGGCCGGTGTGGCATTCGGTGCCAGCGATTGAACCCTGGCTCTTGCGCTTACCTAAGCAAGTGCTTAGTCCGCTGAGTTATATCGCCAGCCCTTGGTCTAATTATTGAACACTCTGATTCCCAATCCTTTACAAGTATCAAAGTCTTTTGCAGCAAAAGTCTGCATCTTGCATGGTCTGGGCTGAGGCCGTGAGACACTAGCTTTCTGTTGGTCTCCACAGACATCTATGTGACGCCTTGTACAGAAGACAGATGGCTGGAAACCACTGGCTCGTATCTTCTAATTCCAAAATGCCTCTAGTGATTTACTAATTGTTTACGATCAGTTTCTTCATCATGTGAAGAGGTTTCCTTCATTTCTGAATCAATAAAGAGCCCCCTCCCCCCCTTTTTTTTCCTTTTTGTGGAACTGGGAATTGAACTCAGGCCCTTGCACTTGCCAGGCAAGTGCTTGTTCTACTGAGCCATCTCCCCAGCCCAAGAGCCCTTTCTCTGCAATGAATGTTGAATTTTATTGAAAGCCTTTTTTTTTTCCCCCCCAGGGAATAACTATTGAGAGACTAGGTTAAATGGAGGAGAATCAGTGATGCAATGAATTATTTATAGTAATAGCACTTCAGATGTTGAATATGTTTGGATTTCTGGACAACTTCCTACTAGGTCATGTACAATATTCTTTTAATAGACTGTTGAACTTTGAAAGTCATTTGCATATCATGGCTGTGAGTGAGATGGATCTCTCCGGCTTCTTTGGGTGCATCTCTGATATGCTTCCAGGGTCGGGCTACCTTACGAAATGGATAAGGAGGCTTTCAGCCTTGGCCATCACTGTGGAAATACTGACAGTCGCAGAGCGCTGTCCGTGTCAGGCCTCAGGCCACCCACTTC